CGGCTTGGGTTGTCTTACTTTTGATTCTTCTGAAAGACCCTGACAAGGAAGCATGCTCCCAGAGACTGTCCTAATGGTTTTATCATTCTTCCTGAGCACTGTGTTCCCCCAAAATCTCACTGGTCTCTAGCCTGGAAGGACAACTCAAATGTTTGTATGAAAACACCATAATCTAGAGATGATGTCTCCTGAGAGTGGAGGCGCTGGCCTAGATCCTGGTCTGATTCTCACACGGCAGGAACATGGCCAAAGAGGAATTGCTGAATAGGATTTGTGGGAGGGCATGGATTTAGACTTGGCACATTGAAAACTGAAGCCAATGAACCCAAAACACTATAGTTTAATCATAGTAGCTGAGCTTGGCTAGTAAAAGAGGCCCTGTAGCCAGCTAATTGCTTAAGCTACAACAACTTATTCTATAACCAATTGACTAAGTTGTGGCCAATGTGTAACTGAAGGTTTTCTATGTCCCACCTGGTCCACAGCCACTCAGACCCAAGCAAACACACAGAGGCTTATATTAGTTAAAACTGCTCTCTGCCATTAGCTCAGGCCTACCACTGACTAGCTCTTACAGTCAAACTCAGCCCATTTCTGTTAATCTATGTGTTGCCATGTGTTCTATGGCTTTACCTGTGTGCCATTACATGCTGCTCCCTGGATGGATGGCTGGTTGGTGTCTCCTGACTCAGCCTTCCTGTTCCCAGAATTCTCTTTGTCTGCTTATCCCACCTATACTTCCTGCCTGGCTACTGGCCAATCAGTGTTTTATTAAACCAGTGTACAAAAGTGTTATCCCACAGCACCAGTGAGTCTTTCTCTGCTTCGACAAAGAGTCCATCCTCAACTGCAGATAAGAGAAAATAACCTGGCTACTTGTAATTTGTAATTTCAGAATTCAGTGAGATGCTGCAGTGCATTCTGTGTGAGGGCAGGGGCTAATGATTGTAGTCAGGAATCTGCAGTGTCTGAACTCTTCAGACTCTGACCCTGAATTAGGGTGACTGGCTTTCAAATATGAAAATGTAATGAAACAAGAGATTTTCCAAAGCCTTGGTCACATCTAGTTGTTACTGTCTGAGGTGTGTGTAATATTAACTAGAGTAGAGGGTAGAGAGGAAGGACACAAGTGTATTATCTTGAGGAATGAACTAACCATAATAACTAGTGTAAGATGAATTGCTAAACAGTCTTGTTAATAAAAAACACAGGGCCAGATATTGGGGTGAAAACTGAGAGATCAGAAGAATAGAACAAGTCATGGCCAACCTCACCTTAACAACTCCTCAGCCTCCAGAGAGGGCTACTTCCTGTATACCCATGCCTTTATATACCTTTCTGTGCCCTGCGATCTTACTTCCTCTCTCTGCCCAGCTATATCACTTCCTATTTCTTCACAGCTCTATCACTTCCTGTCTGTCTGTCCAGACCTCTATAGTTAACTAGCACTGGGATTAAAGGCGTGTGCCACCACACCTGGCTCTGTCTCCCAGTATGGCCTTGAACTCACAGAGATCCAGATGGATCTCTGCCTCCCAAATGCTAGGATTAAAGGCATGTGCCACCACTGCCTGATCTCTATGTTTAATAAAGTGCTTGGCTTTTTCCTCTGATCCCTAGATAAGCTTTATTGGGGTACACAAATAAAATATCATCACAAACTAGTAGGAGGGAAATACATTTTGAGTATTACTTTACCATCAAGTTCCTACTATTTGACCTGTATTGAAGGAAGCAAGTGTCTGTAGTTGATACAGCTAGATGTCTTCATGTTGCATTTGTGCTGTGAACCAAAACTGCTAGGTGGAAAGTTAATTGGAACTAATAAAGGAGTCCCGTTACAGAAAACAATTAGCTTCCTTTGCTTATGATTTTTCCACCAATTATAAAATGTGTAATTTAGTACTGTATGGTTTTTCTGTGTTAAAAGAACAGTAGTTTAGCCCACTGAGCATTACAGGCCACATGGTAAGGTTGTCCGCCTGTGTGGGCTATTTCCTCACCTGGAAAACTGGAAATGCACATGCTAGTTGAAGAGACATTGCTAAGCATATGAAGCAGGTAAGCAAACATGTAAATTACTCATGATTAGCAAGAAGGAAGTATCCTACATCAAAGGATCTAAAGCAGTAGTTGTGACACATTAGATGGAGGTAAGCTTGAACACATGGCTAACACACTCTATGCCAGCATTGCCCATGCCCTAATCAGAAGAATCACCTGCCCTCCCATCCACTGTTTATAAACCATTTTTCCAGGCTTCTTGGTGGAAATAAAAAAAAAAACTTTAAAATGTATTTAATGTGTGTGGGTATTTAATGTACATGTATGCATGTATGTCTGTGCACCACTTGTGGGCAGTGCCCATGGAAGCCACAAGAGGGCATCAGAACCCCTGAGACTGGAGTTACCAATGGTTGTGAGCCACCACCTGTGTGGTGAGACTTGGGACATTTCTCCTGGAAGAGCACCCAGTGCTCTTAAGTGCCGAGTCATCTCTCCCACACCTTTCTGGAGATTTTTCAGTCAGTGGCTTTGAGATGGGATCCTCAGACTCTGTATGTTTGATTAAGATCCAAAGTAACTATCTTCTAGGAAGTCTGGAAAGCAATGCTAACAGAGCATGTCAAATTCTAATGGGCAAACAAGTGGGCTGTTGTGTTAAGACGTAGAAGAAGCAGTGGGCCAGGAGTAGGACCTGAAATCTGTTTCTAGCTTGCTTTGAAGTTCTGGGATACAGGCATTCTCGGGTACACTTTGAATGGGAAGGGTCCTTAAACTCAAGGTAATTGCACTAGCAGTTCTATGGGAAATATCTTAAAGCTCTGTTGGTGATTTCTCAGGGAGTGGGGAGGTGATTCGAGCAGTGTCGACCTATGGATGGGGAACTTGTAGTCTTTGCTCTTTTACCTTGGCTGTACATCAGAACACCCAAGGAGATATACATGTGGGTCTGGTAACTCCTTGGTGTAGTCAAACAGTAAGTAGCATTTGACTCATTGAAGAGCTTATTAAGTTTTCAGAATTTTCATCTACTCAGCCTTCTGAGGCAGAACAGGCAAGATCCCCTTGAGGCTCATGTGCATGCTGGAATTGACTGTTGGGTGGCCAATATTTTTGCAACCTCTCATGAGTACATTAGTGGGGTTTTTTGTTTGCTTGTTTTTTGCTTTTTTGGAAGTGATTTCTCCTTCTCTTTTATTTATCTAAGCAAAATATTCTTACACTCCTGTCCCTAGCCAATTTCCATTCCTACACCAAAAGACAGTTGCTGTGGGATGGTCTATATGTCAAATTGCTCTGATTGGTCAATAAATAAAACACTGATTGGCCAGTGGGTAGGCAGGAAGTATAAGTAGGACTAACAGAGAGGAGAAAAGAGGAACAGGAAGGCAGAAAGAGTCACTGCCAGCCACTGCCATGACAAGAAGCATGTGAAGACACCGGTAAGCCACGTGGCAAGGTATAGATTTATGGAAATGGATTAATTTAAGCTGTAAGAACAGTTAACAAGAAGCCTGCCACGGCCATACAGTTTGTAAGCAATATAAGTCTCTGTGTTTACTTGGTTGGGTCTGAGTGGCTATGGGACTGGCGGGTGACAAAGATTTGTCCTGACTGTAGGCAAGGCAGGAAAACTCTAGCTACAGACAGTTTATAATTTCTGAAAGCTAATGTCCCCATCATCAGAGATTCACTAAGAACAATGCCTTGGACTCAAGAAAGGATGTAGTCCTCAGTTTGTTAAGAGAAATACTATCACTTCAATTATTTAACTATACTTTACATTTTAAAATAAAAAAAAATGGGGGCTGGAGAGGTGGCTCAGTGGTTAAGAGCACTGGCTGCTCTTGCTAGGGGACCTGGGTTCAGTTCCTAGCACCCACATGGTATTCTCAAATCTGTCTGAACCTCCATTTCCAGGGGACCTGATACCTATGTCTGGCCTCCAGGGGTACCATGTATACAAAGTGGGCACAACTCTGTGTGTGTGTGTGTGTGTGTGTGTGTGTGTGTGTGTGTGTGTGTGTGTGTACTATACATAAAATAAAAATGAATACATCTTTAAAAATCCCAAATAGTACTGTGTAGGTAACACAGGAAATTCCATCCCAGTGGCTAGACTCACAGGAGCATGACAGTCCACAGTCTGCCTTCTACTGAGCTCTTTAGTTTTGCTCACTCTGGATCAGGGTAGATAGCTCTGGAGCCTCAATCTTTCAGTCTTTCACTTGTTCCTCTATAGAGTTATATACTCACTGGTTGAGTAACCACTGTTGCTATGGCTGCTATCAGTTCTGAAAATGCATGTGCTTAATATCCTCTCTAGGTTTGTCCTTCATGGGGAGGCCAAGCTTTTCTTCATAGTTGGTATCAAGTACCAGTATATGTGTGTTGACATGGGTATCCATGTGTGGGTAGGGAAATAAGCATGGAAAGTAGTCTGATTTGAACTAAAAGGGAGTAGTGTTGGGGGATACTGGTCATGGGGGTGGGCAATGGTCCACATAAATGATGTTGGGAAGTAGTCTTTGCACTTAGCCAAGTAGCACTGGTGCCCCTCAAACCAATGTTGGTAGGATGTGGAAGCTACACCCTGGTGGTAAGGCGAAAGGAAGATGGAAAACTATCCAGTGTAGATTCTTCTGGAGGCCAGTAAGGGAGAAAGTAGGGAGAGGGGGGTTTCTGAAATTGGGGGTCATGGTTACAGTGAGATCGTAGAATATGAGGCATCATGGGAGATGAGACCTCTTTCCTGGGAAAGTGGTGAGCAGGGGTGTATACGCTGGTACAGTCCATAAACAGAGGGTTGGGGGCAGAACAAAACTGGAATAAGCTGGATTTCCCTTCAAGAACAAACTATTTGTGTAAACAGACAACAACAGGCAAACCATCCCACTCACCAGAAAGCATTCATGAAGAACCTGAGTGATCATCTGTAATATGCTGGAAGGTGGCATGTATAAGTACATGGAAAAAGAACATCGAAAACGTATCAGTCGTCTTTCATGCTAAATTTTTATTCAATGTTATGCAACTGCATAAGTATAAATATTTGTTCAATATACAACAGTGATGACATTCATGGGGGGGGGATGTCTTGGAGAAAATGAGACTGCAAACACATTATTGCACAGATCCTAACAAATCGAAGCTGGCAAATCTACAGCTCGGGGTCCTACCGAGGGGCACATTTTACAACCACACAGAGACTGACCGAGTAGAACACAGGAGGAAGTCTACCAGCTGGGTGGGGAGATTCACAACAGCAGACTGGTGTCACATGTGAGCAACCTTACATCCTCCGTACTCATCCAAAATGCAAAAACACATCTGGCGAAATGATAATACACTATACAAAATATACATAAAAATATCCTTTGTAAACAAAGCAGCTGGTTGTGCTTTAAAGAAAACCGGACAGTTAAAAAGCAAAGGCTGTAAACCATGAACTACCTCCCGGACAGACCTGTCCTGATGTCTGAGTGGAGAAGGATTGGGCTATTAGATCTACCAACCAGATATGCATTATAAGCTTTGAGACCTTTTTTTTTTTTTTGAGACCCATTTGAGTTCTTGTAAAAAATATTTGTTGGTTCTACAGTTTCACAAATGTAGTGATGGTAGGGGGGGAGCGGCTAGAACTGTATGGGGGTGGGGAGACAGGTGTGAAAAAGACACTTCTTTTTCCTTTCACCAACCGGCTTTGCAACAACAGGCGACCAAGCAGTCAGTGATGCAATGATGCCTTTGTTTCTGGAGTGCTTACAGCCTGACTAGGTGATTTACCATCCACAGAGTGTGCTCACGTAAACAAGCTTCTGGTGGAAAATGCCAAGACACACCCCCAAGGGGTCTGGTGCTAGATTCATTATTCATTTGTAATTTTATTCTTCCTCTTACAGAACAAAGTCTTGCTATGGATCCCAAGCATCTTATAAAAACATATCTGCATTGTGCCTTAGTCCATACTTCAGCAAGTGGCACCTTACAGTCCAAAACAAGCCATCAAAAAACCGCGACAACGGAAACAAATCAGAAAAACCCTCAGCACTAAAATGATCTGACAGACTCTACATATTTCATGGTATACAAAATTTAAATAAGGCTTAGCAAAAGTAAAAAGGATGGTCACATTCAAGCACCAAATAGCTCCAGTCTCTTTGTTACAAAATGCTGCTCTTTATTAATACAGTAATTTTTTGCATACAAATAAAGAGATCGTGTTATGAAATGTATGGAGCTACTCGATGCATCAGAAATGAATGTGAAACCCAGGAACTTGCTAAAAACAGCAAGCTTCATCTACAACATAAGGCCCCAGCTATGTATTAAAATGTATCTGATGTCCTGATTATTCTTTAATATATATGCTATGATGCCAAAATCCACCCCCCATTTTTCCTTAACAAAAGCAAACTTAAAACCTCTTCCAATGCCTAATACATATCACTCCATCTAAGTACTGGCAGATGTGTGTGTAACCAGTGGTTTTCCTGTGTCCTCACTGGCAGGGCTGGTACAGCGCCTACCATAAAATGTGCTTCCTGGACTCACAGCATAAAGGCCTGAGGGTGGGAGCTTGGGAGGAGGGGAAGAAAGGGCTGACCTGCAGTGTGTTTCTAGTCCCTGTGTGCCCTCAGGTGAAGAGCAGACACGTAACCCAGAGACGGGGACAATTGCCCTTCTGGCCACTTGGACCCGAGGGTCAAAATGTCCCCTACAAGGACTGTCAAATAGATGCCTGACTCCACCTGACCTGGCCACTCCTAGTAAAGGGGTCCAAACGCGGCAGCTCAGAAAGACAGGTAGCCAGACTCAGTATGAGATCAGAGATCCTGGTTAAATACACACACAAAAACTCACCATCTACTGTCTCTAGGGCTTTCTTTCATCCTTAACTATACAAATGGAGCCTTGAAACTAGTCTCGAACCACAGACCAAAACACGTGGGTGGATGTGTACATACGCAATCATGGGTGGGTTTCTATTTTCACACATACCCAGCTCTGACCACTTGGCTTCATTACTATGTTATGGTTAGGTGGTAAAACAAGTGCCTTCATTTAGAAAAGCTTCGGTCAACGCGGTGGTCAGCAGCGAGGTCCACACTCCACATCCCGAACCAAACGCATTGCTAGGTATGTACAGAGAGACTTCCTCCCCAACAACACACTGCTGGAGAGGCAGGTTTTGTACAAACACTATCTGGCAACAGTTTTACCGGTTACAACTGGGAAGGCATCTGGAAGAAAGTTCCCTTTTTCCATCTCTCCTCCTCCTCTTCCCCCTCCTCAGTGAGCCTCCGAGCTCTGCTGGGAGGACATTCCCATACGGTGCTGGTTTGTGAGGCGGCAAAGACCCAGTTACACGAATGCTCAGGCGGGGTCTCACAGCCCTGCCTGTCACCAAGGCTGCATGTTAGGAGGCCTTCTTGTGAGGACTGCCACGTAAGCTCTCCTTGCCCCTCCTCTGCCGCACCACGAAGTCCTTCTCCGAGGAGAGAGGGAGGGAACGGTCCATGCTTTGGGCCGGGGGCGCTCTGGTCACCTCCCTGCCCACGTTCTGTTTCCTGGCTGGGGGAGGCTGGGTAAGCTCTCTCCCTCTGGGTTCTCCCGTGGCAGCAGTCACTGACAGCGCCCTGTCCCTGTGGCCGGCTGTGTTGGGCACCTGTGGATCTGGGGGGTGTGACTCCAGGGCAGAGTTGGAGAGGCGGAAGGAGGGCAGAGAGTCACTCTTTGTCATTTGGCTTCGGCCATCTCCCCCAGACTGGGACTTCCTGTGGTCCCTGCTGCTGGGGGCTGGGGATTCTGAGGTCCCTGCGATTGCCTTGGCGGGTGAGGGGCCGCTGGTGGCTGCGGTGACCTCTCGTACTGCAGGCTGGGCCTCAGGAAAGCTGGCTGAATAGCTCAGAGACTTTTCTGGGGGGCCAGCTGAGCGGAGAGAACTCTGTGCAGTGGCAGAGGGTGACCGTTTCATGCCGCTGGGCTTGCCTATTTCAGCCGGTGGCTTCTGAGGACCAGGCCCTTTCCCCTTGGACTCTGAGAAGCCCTTCCCCATGCCCACGGCTGGCCTCTCTGGGCCTTTGAGTCGGGTCTCACCGTGGTGGGGGGAAGGGCTGGCCTCCGGCTTGTAGCCCTGTGGGGCTGGAGCGTAAAGTGCTTCTGTGCATTTCTTCCCGTCTGACTTCCTGTCCCCCACGGAAGCTTGCTGACTTGGGCTTTTGTCTGTCTGTCTACACAGAGTGGGGCAGTCTTTCACAGTGGGTGGTTTGGGATGCTTTGGAGACAGGCTTTGTTTTTCGCCGGCCGTGAGAAGTTTCTGGTCTACTGCGTCACTGCACCCTGGATGTCCTTGTCTGGGTGGGTGCTTCTCCTGCATCTCTTGGGGACCGCCTCCATGGGCGGCTTTCAGTTTAGCGTCCAGAGGACTCTCTTCCGTGTGGAGTGCGATGGTGACCCTACCTTCTCCCTGCCCGAACACGTCGATCGCTTTGCCCTGGGTGGCCAGGATGGCAGGGAACATGTCCAAGGGACCCTTGCTGCCCCCCTTCCCCTCTCTGCTGGAGCCGCCGCCACCGAGGGCTGGAGCGACAGTCTCTTTGCCTTTTGCAGACCCGGCGGCGGCACTCAGCTTCTGTGAGGAGAGGGACCTGTCTGGGTGCTTAGACTTTGAAGGGCTGGGGTCAGGGCCAGGTCGGGACTTCGGACTATGGCAGTCACTGTGCCCGGCACTGGCGGTGGCGGTGGCAGTGGTGGCGGCAGTAGCAGATCGGGGAGTGTCCTGGAGGCTGGTGTTCAGTTCTGCAGCAGCGGCGGTGGCAGCGGAGGCAGGGTTGGTCCCCAGCTCCTTGGTCAAAGTGTGGCTTGGAGTACTGTGGTGCTGCCAAGCTGCTGGGTTGGCCAGCTCTTTGGTGGTCAGGGGTTGCTGGGGGCCGTTGCCTCCGGGCCTTTGCAGGGCCTGTTCCTTCCTGTCGGGCTCTCTGGGCGCCTGTTTCTGCAAAGAGGGGGTGGTGGAGAGCTTCTCACTCTTCTCGCCCTCAGTTCCTGGTGGCTGAGGAGGGTGCCTGGCAGCCGGAACTTCCGGTTTGGATTCTGTGCCTTTTCTTGCCCTGCCTACCTCCTTTTCATACAGAAGCCCGGCTGAGCGCAAGGAGTCCTCCCTGGCCAGGGGCTTTACCTCGTCTTGGCCATCTCTGTAGTGGGTTTTTGCGCATGCCCATGTTTTCTCCGTAGTCTGGGTCTGCATGTAGAAATCAGGGTGGGTCTTTCCCCCAGAAGGGAGGCTTCTGGAACTGTCACTGGCTTTCCCAGTCTCTGCAGGACACAGCTTCACACGGGGGTCTCTGCATACATCATCCCTCATGGCAGAGCACTCACTCCTCACCTTTTCAGATGGTTCCTTCAGATGCGGCTTCTCCTTTGAGGAGATCCCTTCCGGTGGGAGCTGGGCACGTATACCCAGCTTTGCCGGGTCAACGTTGTGTAGGGTCTGCCCAGGGGCAGGGAGGACCTTGGTGTCACCAGAGCGGTCTTGGTGTTTGGTGGGACTGCCCTCTTTCTGCTGGAGATGGCTCTCTGTGACAGCTGCTGTGTTCCTGGCAGCAGGATGAATAACCTTCCTGTCGTGCTTTGACTTTGGTTCTGGCCCAGGAGCTGCTAGGGGGTCCTGGAGACCCCGGCTTGGAGGCAGGAACCGAGGCTCCAGCAGGTAAGATTTACTCACCTTCAGGCTGGTGGAGGAAGGCTCTCGCAGGCTGGCGGGGTCGCTCTTTTTCCCACTGCTACTGAGGAGGGCGGGTGGCCCCAAGGACCCTGTGTTGACACCTGGGCTGGGGCTCTGTGCAGCCTCCGGGGAAGGCAACTCTGTTTTGGAGGCATGAGGTCCGGACAGGAGAGCAATGTCCAGTGTGCCTTCAATTGGCTTCAGGCATGAAACTGACCTGCCCTCCAGCTTATACTCAGAGGGGCTCTTCCTCACGGGGGACTCGGGAGCAGTGAACCCTGGTTTCTCCCCTCCATTCTCTACCCGGCCAGCTAAGGCTTTGAGGGGGACAAAGGAGACAGCACTCATCTGAGATGTGTGGGTACTGTTGATGAATGCCCGGCTCTCAGAGGCTGGCATGGTCTCCTGCTGCCCAGCCATGGGCCGTATAGGGTTCCCTGGCAAGCACTCATGGGCGCTCGATGTCATCTTGGGTTTCAAGATGGCACAGTGACTGTCATCTTTGTCGTCCAGGGACATTTTCTTTCGGAGGTAATCGATATTAGCCAGCTTGCTGTCTGTTTTCTCACTTCGGAGGAGCTCTTTGGCCTGGGAGGCCTTCTCTGTGTATTCACCCTTTCCAGGAGTGGGCCTGTCAGGGATGTGATACATACCATCCTGGAGGGCGCCAGAAGCCGAGGCCCGTTTAAAGTCACCTAGAGACTGGCTGTGCTCCCCAGGTGCCAGGCTGCACGCCGCCCCGTCTGAGGTCACCCCTTCAATGGCCCGCACGCTGGCCTGCTTGTGAAGTGTGTCCTTCAGCAGGCTGCCCCCCGAAAGAGGCTCTGACGTTGTGCTCTCAAAGTGACCTGACCTCTCCAACCCCTTGGGGTACACTTTCTTCTCTCTCTCCTCCAGTCTGAAGAGAGCATAGTTTTCAGAATCACCACCAAGGCCGTGAGGTTTCTGGTGGGATTCATGTTTCTCCTCTGGTTTCTTCACTATGACCTTGGCCTTCAGCTTGTCCCGGTCCAGGTCGTCCACAGACTCCTGCCTGCCAAGCTTCCGGGACACGGGGCGTTTCAGACAGCCTTGTTCCACAGGCCGGGCCCGACTGAGGGAAGGCGCGTCACACACGTTCTCCTCCAGGCTCTGCAGTGTCGCCTCCCGCTGACACTGCTCCCTCTGTACCTCCTCCTGCGTCACCTCCAGGCTGTGCTTGCGGGAACACAGGTGCTTCTTGTCGCTGCCATAGGAGGGCGACAGCTTTTCCTCAGACTGGACCCGCTTCAGCAGCGGGGAGCGGGGCGGCTCGGCACTCTTGGGCCTCACAATGTGTCTGACGATTGTGGGGGGAGAGTGCATCTTGCCAGGAAAGGCCTGGGTGATCTTGGCGTTGCCCAGTGAGTGCCCCAACAGCGGGGATGGTGAACGCTGAGGGGAGGTAGGCTGGGGAGTTGGAGAGGGTGTCCTGGCCAGAGGGGAGAGTGGGATGCTGCCAGCCGACTTCCGCCTTCCAGAGCGGTATCGCTGGCCACTGAGTTTGGGGGCCAGGCCATGGAGGGTGCTGGGCCGGATGTGCCCCGAACCTGCTGGAGAATTGGGGGCACTTGAACTTGGTGAGCTGCTCTGGGAAGAATTTGTACCTGTGGGTAGAAAACATGGGACTGTGAGAAACTAGATGTTTTTCCTTTTCTTCCTACACTTCTGTCTCAGAAGTTCAGGGAAGGCATCTCACACATGCTTCCCCACAACCCACTTTATCTAATGGTCAGAATGGTCCCCAATTGTGTCCTGAGTGCTGTCTGTCACATGCCAGATTCAGCCTGTTTTCATCATCCTTGCCTGGCTTATGCTTTCCAGGACATACCCTCCTTTCCACTCTCTAAGGCTGTCTAGGCTAGATCTACTCACCTGATGGGAAATCAGGGGTTGAGCGATAGCTGGGTGTTGGAGATCGTGGGGACAAGCTGTGAGTAGGGGAACCCGGGAGGCTCTCTCCAGATGACAGGGATCGGTTCAAGCAGGAGAAACTACGGCTGGTGTGGAGTAAAGGAGAAGGCTGCTTGGCTAACTTCTTGAAGAGAGATCTCCTCCTGAGTGGAGACGGGAGCATATGATCAGAATGTATGTTCAACAACAACCCTCATGACAGCCACGTCTTCAGTCCCACCACGGACATGACAGCCGACCTACAAAATGCCACTTCTGTACTGACAACTTCCTCGTGGCTTAGGAGACTGACAGTATGCAGGAAGGATCTCTTAATTCCAAACAGCAAGAAATAGTAAAGTAAGACAGTTATAAAGTATTAAAATCCTTCACTCTGAGTATGCTCATGTCTTATACTGGCACGGCTCAATTAAGATGAGCGCTTTTCTTCCAGTGACTATTGTCTTGGGTGTAGACTTACTTTAAGGTAGGAGGTTTTGAGCAGCGTTTTTCATTTGTGAAGGACTATTTGCTGGGCTTGTTCCATTGAGGACTTGTAAATATGCCCAATACAATATATGCTCTGTTTTTACATGGGAAGCATGGAACGAGGAGAAGCGGAGGCTATCGTATCAGTGGGCAACAGATACAAATGTGCATTCAGTGTTAAAAGAGTTCATTATAAGGAAAATGTATGAATGCTCATGGCTTATCAGTGCAGTAACTGTACATGGTTCTTTTTCCAAAGAGGCCTAGGACAGCCCTGGTAGTTGTTACAATGCTAAACATTAAAACATTTTTCCCATGTAACCTGAAGAAAATGGAAATACAAAGTCAAAAAACCTAGAGTGATCCTAGAACCTGTCTGAAATTTGATTACTTAAATGGCTTCTATACATGTAACTTTTCCTGGCATTAATAAAGCACTTTTATTAGATCACTTCTTTTACATTTCTATCCAAAGGTCTTGGCGTGATGAGACTCTCAGGTTCAAGTGAACAAAGGATCATGGCTACGGCAGCTCAAAGGAGCCATACCCAGACCAGAAAGAAACAACCCTTCCCAGCGCACAGGTTCACACCATGCTTTAGTCTGTGTGTAGACTTTCCCACACCTGCCTATCCGCCACTGTGCGTCACTTCATTAGATTTCAGTTAGACAAAGCTCTGTTACTCCCAGACTTATTTGAAAGGTTTAAAGATGCAGTTATTTTGTGATATAGGACGTTTAAAAACAGACAAGCAAAAAAAAAAAAAAAAAAAAAAAGCCTCCTTAATCACATAAAGGACAGGTTAACTGCAGATTCCGTGTACAAAACTGCCTGCTGGTCAAGTGTATCAAATCCAACTATCCTGAAATGACATCTAAAGGCTTAAGCAAACAATCAATGACAAAACAAAGGGAATAAAAAGACAGCCGAGCTGATGAGATGGTTCAGCAGGTAACGGTGCTCGCCACACAACATGACCAGCTGTGGCCGATCCCTCCAGCCTATGGTGGGAGGAGAAGACTGGCTCCCCAAAAGTTGCCCTCTGATGCACGGTGCTATGTGGGTGCCTATGTACAGACACACAAAGCAATAAATATATATTTTTAAAACCAGTGTGATGGTTATTCTTGATTATCAACTTGACCACATCTGGAACTTAAACCCCAAAATGGAGGGCAAACTTGTGAGGCTTTTCTTTCTTTCTTTTGTTTTTTTTGCTTAGTTTGAATCCATTTCTAATCTGGATCTTTGGATTAGGAACACAGGCCTTTAATCTGGGCCATACCGTCTGCTGGAAGCCTACAGAAGGACACAGAAGAAGGAAGCTTTTGCTCTTTGCCTGCTTGTCCTCGCCTTGCTAGCACATCCTTTCCTTCACTGACATTAGAGCCTAGTTCTTCTGGATTCCAGCATAAACTGAAGACCAGCTGAGCAAATTTCCAGCCTTGTGGACTGAGGAAACACTGGATTCTTAGACTTCCAATCACAGCCACCCATTGTTGGATTAGCTGGACTGCAGCCTGCAAGACATTCTAATAAATCCCCTTTCTAGGTTCATTCTGTAAGTTCTATTAGCCTAGAGTCTAGAGACCCCTGACAAGCAGGAAAGGACTTTTCATGGTGTCCACACATGCTAAAGAAAACAAACTTTTTACAGTAAGAGTTAGTAATTCTCTCTGCTATACATGGGATGCATTAAACTTCAATGTCTACTGTGAACTGTGGTCCAACATTTCTCATAGAAAACTGCGCCTTTCTCATACATACTTGGTAAGGAATACGGTTTATCCAGCACAGGTGGCTATGAACCTTTCAAGAAGGCTGACCCAACTTACCTTTCTAGACTTTCCTTCTTCTTTGACTTCTTGCTCCTTCTCACCATCCGGCTCTTGTAACTGTTCCTTCTGGCTGGTCCTGTTTTGATGGACGTGTTTTCAAACGGGGTGGTGGTGATGGACACCTTATTCCCACTCTATAAATAAAGAGATGAGGCGGTATTAAAAAGAAGTACTGTGAAGAAGCAAGATCGGAACTAAGAGATTCAAAGACAAGTAACAAGATAAGTGCGTCATGTAACAGGGCCTTCCACTGTCAAATAACGTCACGGTCAGCAAAGTCCTGACAACCCAAATGGGGTGGAAGGCAAAGTGACAAGTCTCTTTAGTGAGTGGGCTGTGGTGGGAGTCCACATAGTCCACATATCCGAGTCAAATCCAAGCTCCAAATATTAGCCGGCTGCTTGCCCTACACTGTACTAGCTACCAGCAGAACCCGCCATCTCCTGGAGCTCAGCAGAGGAGTCAGGGAGAGTTTGCAAAGCCTTTAACACCGAGTGTGACACATGGAAAGGGCTCTATAAATAACAGCTATCTTCATCCATATGTATTAAATAGCAATGTGCCCAGTAGCTGTCTGGTCTTGCTTGATATATTTTCCTCCTTTCTCTATTTCATGTTTTTCTTTGACCTAGAAATCATAGGGCGACAAAACTGAATGAGACTTTTATTTGTAATGATGTTCGAAGGTTCCTTTTCTTATTGTCATAAAGCCTGGCAGCTTGCAGAGCGGGGAAGTATGTGCCAGGCCATAGGGAAGGCTCTCTTTAACCAGGGCAGGCGCAGCAACATGATTCCTGGCGGGTCTCTGTGTCCTTTCTCTTCATCTTGGGATGGGGCTTGCTAGGCAGGCCAGAGGGATGAAGGTGAGCACAGAGTCTGAAGCTAGGCATAGGTCTGGTGGGCAGAGGCTCTGGCTCCTACAGTCTCTCCTTGAATGTCACCATAGCCAGAGGACAACCACATTATTTCAAAGTCAGAGGTGGCTGTGATAAACTTGAAGGGAGAAGTAATCTAAGAACAAGGGCTTTTTTTACAGGTCCTTGCCAGGAAGATGCTGAAAGCTAAGCTCTAAGTCATACCAAACCACGGGAAGACAAGTGCTGTGGGAATAGGAGACTGGGAAAGCAAATCTCTGCTTCACCGAGAATCTACCATCTTTCCCCCTGATTGGGAAATATCCTGTGCTATTATAGGAAGAAAATGATAAAGCGAAAATTAAAAGAAAACACTGAAATCTCCACTGAGCTACCATTGGTAATATTTCAATCCATCTCCTGCTGGGTTTTAATTGTTTTTGAGGAGGAAGGGCGGGAATCAGACCTAGGGCCTCAGTGCATGCAGAATAAGCAAGCACTCTGTCATTAAACTACAAAGCTGTCATTCCTAGCCCATCCTAGTCTCTCTTCGGGCATGATACATCTATGCACATCTTATAAACTATTTTCATGTTAGATTTGTAGCTTTCTCTTTTCCAGTTCACATGTCTGAAAACCTCTCATCGTTAAATATTCTCTAAGGACATGCTTTGTATCGGTTGCCTGCTGGTATCTCCCCACTGTTATTCTTTCCTGGTTTTTAGTTCTATGAGTTGATGGTCCATTCGTTATTTATAGTTCTTTAGGGCAGTGGTTCTCAACCTTCCTAATGCTTTGACCTTTTAATACAGTCCCTCATATCATGGTGACCCCCAGCCATAAAATTGTTTCGTTGTTACTTCATAACTGTAAATTTGCTACTGTTATGAATCACAATGTAAATATCTGATATGTGACCCAGTGAAAGGGCCAGGTGACCCTGGGGGTTGCAACCCACAGGTTGAGAACCATTGCCTTACAGACCGCTTTGTTCATGCTTCAGTCTAGTATTGAAAAGACGGCATTTTATTATTGCCTTCATAGTTCTTTACATATCATTTTAGAAATATAATCTCACACCTAATAATAGATTTGCAGAAAATATTTTAGGCAGATGGAGTTTGAATTCCCACAGAAAGATGTTATGTGTCTTACATGCAAATGCAAAACTTTTCAAAGTTTACACTTACTTTAATGGTAGAGACTGGCCTTCTAGTTTTTGAAATGGAAAATTCACTATTGGAGATTTTTGGAAGGAGGTCTACTGAATGAACCTATGATGACATCAGACTTCCATGATGGATGAAAGGGAAGCAAAGCAGCTGGGAAGCATCTTTCACTGGTGTTAGGTGTTAGGGTCACTAGGGCTGTCTTACCCATGAGCCACTGGGCCTGTATTCAAGTGCATTTCAGCATTGCCTTTTTTTTTTTTTTTTAAAGCGGAGTCTCACACTGTAGTCCAGACTGGCCCAGAACTCACAGTGTAGCCCAAGTTGGCCTCAAACTTGTGGCGGTCCTTCCTCTTCAGCCTCCAGGGGGCTGGGACTTTCATATCTTTGTAAGAGTCAAACAATGCCATCTGGTGTTTTAAAAACACAATTTAGGTTTTAAGCCATTTCCACATATCTCTATTTTTATACCCAAGGGTTGGGTCACCACTCACGAGGTGAGAAAGGACTGTCACCCTGGGATAGTAGATAATGACAACAGTTCCAAGGACCCCGAGATTCTTGTTCTCAGCGTCATCATGGTAAGTGGAACAGTTAAAGCCTGGCTACTCTGTCCCTCATTCCCAAGTGCTCCTCCTTCCCACCCTGCTCCATGTGGGCAGCAGGTGCTTGGTCCTCTCCAGTGTCTGGCACAGAGCATGGCTTGTGTTCACCCTAGTGGTAGTTGGCAAAACAGTCACATGACATGTGGGGCATGCTCAGAGTACTAGATCACTGAGAAATGGAGACAGAAGCATGATAAAATTGTATAAGATAAATATGAATGTTTATGAATAGAAAATAGAGAGAGATATGCACGGCTTGCTGACTCAGCACATTGCCAGGGTCTGAATAAATACCTCTTTGACAAAACTAAACCTACTTTTTGTTTCCACATATGGCTTTTCAAAAAGCAATTCATTTGACTGATGTGCATACAGCACAGACGGCCCCTCTCATAAGAAATACACAAGATATACCATGCAAATATTAAAAACATCAGGAGAAATGGTAAATGGGAAAAAAAAAAATTGGGTGCTATTTGTGAAGCCTGCCACCTGGTGGATCCACCTAGCTACAGCAAGAGCTGCAGGAGCTACTGCAACCTGATGAATGAAAAACCAGTAACAACAACAACAGAAAGAAAGAAAGCAAACTGCTACATGCCCAGTTAATTCACTTTTGCCTGAAACTCTTTTTGCACATAGTGCCCAGTGGGAGGGAAGTGATTTGAAGTTGGGTGAACTGAGTACAGTAGCTGAAGTCAGGCTATCAAGGTCTCCTTCGGGCTTTGTCAGTTTACTCATTGGCCTTAGGGTAATTCACTGAGGACCACTGTTTCTGTCTGATGTTCTTGGTAAAGCTCAGCTAGGGGGCAGGATCTTCCTGCAGCATCCTTTGTGTCTGGGGCCCTGACTCTCCTCTTCCATCCTAGGTCCAGCCTGCTTGCACACCTCCCTATGAACCAAGGCTTCAACCCACTAGGCTCACTGTGTCCTAAAGACTTGAGACCCACCCACCCACCCACTTCACATCTGCACGTCTACTCATGCAGTCTAGACTATCCTGACTCTACTTGTCCACGCACTAAATCTCCGACCCTCTTTCAAGGCCTGCACAGACTGACCTCCCAGTTCTCAATGCTCTTCCCGTGCATGCCGGTAGAGAGCCATCTTGCTTTCTTCTGAGCTTCTGCCATGTTTACAGTCTGTTCCTTATGTTTCCTGCTTTGATTCAAGGCTGGTGTTGCCACTGCTTCCTGCTGTGAGCACTAGACTGTGAGGTACTGGTAATTAGATGCATGTGTTGGAGCCGTGTGTGGCAGACGCGGAAAGCACAGCCCCTGAATCACACTGCCTGGATAGAACCCGTCCTCCGAGCAGATGGGCGTGGCTGCCTTGTTCATGTCTCTCTACTTTGGTTTTTGTGTCTGGAACGTGGGAACACTTCTTTCTATGGCATCTACCTCAGAGAATAAACAAGGATGACATGAGTGTGTCTAAAACAGCAGAGCCTGGTTGGGGGCCAGGTACTCGTGCTTCATTAGCTATGTATGTTGTATGTGTGCTAATGCTGCGCAGGATCGTGTGTGTGTGTGTGTGTGTGTGTGTGTGTGTGTGTGTAACATGTAAGGTCAGAAGACACCTTGGATGGCTTTTCTCAGCTACTGTGTACCTTGTTTTTTGATACAAGATCTGGAAATTCACTAACAAGGCTAACCTGGCTGCCCCCCCCCCCCAAACCAGAGCTCTTTCTGTCTCTGCTTCCCCAGTGGTGAGATCACAAGTGCCACTGTACCCAGATGTTCCTCCCAACCCCATGGCTCCAGATCAATGGTTCTCAACCTGTGGGTCGTGACCCATTTGGGGGTCACAGATATCTTGCATATCAGATAGTTACATTCATATTCCTAACAGCAGCAAAATTCCAGTTATGGAGTAGCAACGGAATAATTTTATGGTCGGAGAATGGCAGCATTGGGGAAGGTTGAGAACCACTGTTCTAGAGGCTCAAACTCAAGTCCCCACGCTCCCAAGGGAAGTACTTTACCAACTGAACTATAACCTCAGCTCCCTGTTACCTATTTTTCTGTGTTGCTACTGTTTTCACATGACTCATTCTTTAGCCCAAAGCTCTGGATCTATCAGCGTCTTAACAAATACGGGAGGATGACGGTCATGCTATTTGGTTGTTCCGGTAGCTCCCTAGAGATCCTGGAAAGGAAGTTACTGAACCACGTGGTGGCAAGGCCTACCTAGAGATTCTCCGATGCATCAGGAATTTAAACAAAGCAATCTGGCCGAATGGCACGTTTCCTAATTGCAGGGGGTAAGCCTGACATGTTATCCTTTGAGCAAGGGCTGGAACTAGGACAGTATGGTCTCCATCTATGACTGGAGGGTAAAGCAAGACCATGACCTTCTCCCAGAAAGATTGAAGCTATCCCGTGATCGAGTTCTTCTGGAAGGGGAGGTAAAAGGGAACTGAGCAGAGGCCATGATCATCCACCTATCCTACCCCATCAGTCTACTCTGCTGACGGCTGTGGATCAGCCTCCCCATACATGTATGCTGGAGCTTCCACAGTGGGTCTCCTTTGAAGCTGTAAGAGAAAATGAGACCAAACGTGCAGCGGTGGAATGTAGAAAATGCTTTCTGTGTCCTCTGCAAAAATATACATAGTTCTTGTGATTCTACACAGCCCTATGAGTGATCTTTCCATAAGGCTGCCACAAGATGCTGTAAATACTTAGTACGTATAAAGGACCATGGAAATGGCAGCCAAGAATCCAACAGAGCTGCCACCCTGACGTGAAGCCAGCCATTGCCCGTTGAAGCCCACTGCCGAGACTAGTCACTTCACGCTCTTTGTTCAAGAATTGCTGGTTAAATTTGGAAGAAAGCTGCATGATTACACAGTTCACTGGGACGGTAATTAAATCCCCTGTATCCTCTTTGTTTCATTACACTAGTTACTGCTCTTGAGTGCTTCCTTTATGAACAGAGGCAGGCTCTACTGCCTGGATGGGTGACAGAGCATGCTATGGCTTCAGAGGATGCCAAGGCATGGTACACTCCAGCATGCTTGCATTCCTTCAGTGGTCCACAGTGACTGTACCCAGTGATGGAGCTGTAGGTTACAGAAGGTGACCACAGACACTAGGTGAGGTAAAATTTCACACAGGGGACCAGCTGATTTGGTAAAGACATTTCCAAAATCCTTTGGTGGGGGGGCTACATATCCAATTTCACAGAAGCAAGAAGAGAGATTTGGAAATTCAGAATCATCTTAAGATACAAAATCAATTCAGCTTATTTTTTTCTTCTTCCATAAACATCTGTATGCTATGAAATAAACACAGGCTGAGGTAGGAGCTATTTTGCACATAGCATACTACTGTTATGAAGAATGCAAGGTGTGTATATTTGTGTGTTTATTATATGTTACTATTCTGGTTAATTTTTTTCCTTATCAATTTGACAAAAACTCGGACAATCTAAGAAGAGGAACCCTCAACTGAGGAAATGCCCCCATCAGATTGGTGTGTGGGAGATTTTCTTGGTCACTAAATGATGATGGGGAGCAGAACCTGGTGGGGCAGTACCACCCGTGGGCAGAGGATCTTGGGGTATATACAAATGAAGGCCAAGGAAACCCTGAAGCGCAAGTCAGTGAGCAGTGTTCCTCCATGGCCTCAGCTGCAGGCCCTGCTTCCAGGTTCCCACCCTTACATCTCCTCACGATGGACTGTAAGCTCTCTAAGCTGAAAGAAACCCTTTCACCCCAAGTAGCTTTTGATCATGGTCTTTATCACAGCAATAGGAAAGCAAACTAATTTAAATTCCTTTTGCTTAAAAAAAAAAAATCACTGCTCTCAGGCACCCATTGGTTGGGATGGCAACTGAGAGAATTATTCTTCAGGGCCAAAGAAGCCTGGAGGTAGTAAGCTGCTTCATCAGCCGCTCTCAACAGTCTCCACAAAACTGAAAGACTCACACTCTGGATCTAGGAGACAAACGCTTGACCGTCATTCCAGGCTCTCATCACCTCAGGACCTCAGGATCAAAGACTGTGGGTGAAGAGGCTACTGAGACCTATTGCTTCCTCTTGCCTTTGTCCTAGGTGGTCTAAGACAGCTTCAGGTGGCTTTCACAACCCGGATCTCGAAGTCAGCAGTTCCGCGCAGCCTCCCATCTCTGGGATGCTTAACTGGGAAGGTTATCCCACCCTTGCTGGAGAACTTAAAAGGATGGATTGTTGCATGGAACTGAAATACTTGGACCAGAAGTAGCTATGTGGTCCTGTCTTCCCGTGGGCATGTTTGAACATAAAATGAACCGCAGCGTCCTCCTTTTAACTATAAACTTACTGACCCCTACACCCAAGGCCAATTTTTTAATTAGTACCGTGAGTTAAGCAAGAGCACTAACAGACCTCTATCTACTAGCTCACCCTGGACCTTAGGATGCAGAGACTATTGCTTCTGGAGCCTGGAGCAGGCTGACAGGGAAGGGAGGAGGAGGGAAGGCATTGAATGTGTCTGTCTTTGAAAGCCTTGCACACCCACTCTTCTGCCTTCACGGTCCACATCAGTGTGTCTCCCCTGGCACGCCTTTCCTTACTCCTAGAATGTTCTCTCCAGAATCACAATGCTCCTCTCTACGCCCCAGCCTGGGATAATTCAGTTGTTTTTCTCATATACATGTCTTGTACTCTCTGAGAGCAGAGAGCATCCCTTAGTCTCTGATTCAACAATATTTATGAGGCCTCAATTGCTTTTTAAAACATGCATAGGGGTTTACAGTTGTACAAATTCATCCTCTATCTCCCTAATGGGTTTTTTTGACACTCAAATCTCTCTGGCTGGTTACGAAGTAAGAGGTTGCCCAAAAAAAATGTGTAAGGAAGGGACTGTGATTCTCATCTCAGATAAAGCAGCCTTTTCCTGAGCAAATTTAAAAATCAAATTCAAGTTCAGCTAATTTTATATCTTTGACTTTGCATTCCGGAGTTAGCGGGTCTCGAATCAAGACTCTCCGAAGACCGTCGCAGAGGATGAATGTGCACACCACTCTCTGTTTCTATTCCTGCTCTCTGGGACCTGAAGCCACAGGCTCCATTCGATGCTCCTTTTAAGTTAAGAACGGACCCCCATGGAAACTGAACTTAGACATGTGCATGAGACGGGGAGGAGCCTCGAAACTGCTAGGGCCATTCTTCTACTTAACATTTAGAGCGCATGTAAATACATCGAAAGTTCTGTCTTTAAAAGGAGTGCCAGCTCCTAAACAAAACCTTCAGAGCTGCCTTCCCGGTCGGACAGCACTGTTTCCTCCTGTATTAGACTAACACCTTCTGAGGTTCACCCTCAGGACTGGTGGGTCCCCCATGGAATCTCCTCAGTGACCATAAACAGAGAATTCATGTAAGACTGGAAAGACGGGTAGTGAGAAGCAAAGCAAGGTAGTCAGAGTGCAGGTTCAAGGGCACCTTTTCACAGCATGAAACCAGAGAGCTCATAACGGCTTTGGCTCCTATCGGACTTCCGGGTACTTTGTCCCTTCCACTCGTGACACTGACAGCAGGGCCATGCCACAGAGAACCTGACCTCACGGTGACGATTCCGAGGGTTACCTACTGCCTCTCCATGACCAGGACACAGGAAACACAGTACCTTCAACAGCAGCTCGATGACTTCGGTGTGGACGAGTCCATGGACTGGCTCTCCGTTGATGTGTGTGATCAGATCCCCAGCCTTTAGTCCCGCGTGGCAGGCAGGGCTCCCTTCTTCTACATTCTACAGTCCAAGAGGAGAGTGCATATTTGTGAGCAAACACACGACAGCCCCGACACCTACTGTTTCTTCTGTCAGGATAGTCTGTCACCTTGTGAGTGATCCCACGCTCCTAACAGGAACTCAAAAAGGCATGGCCCCTGTTCCAATACTGTTCTAAAACAGGATAACTCCCATGTGAGCAAGAATGTGATATTTTGAAAAACAAAGCTAGAAAAAAGAAAAAAAAGAAATGTAAAGGACAGGGGCTGGAGAGATGGCCCCACAGTTAAGGGTACCACACTTGCAGGGGATCTGAATTCAGTTCTTCCAGAACCCATGGTAGATGGTTCACAAGTGCCTCTTAACTCCAGCTCTGGGGTATCAAATGCCTCTGGCCTCTATGGGCATTTGCACTCAGACATACATGTAATTAAAAATAGAATAACCTCCCCCTTTAAAGGACAATAAAGGGACATGAAGAAGATTGTTTTTATGTTCACCAGATTGGTACATAAGAATGGGCAGGCAGGCAATCACAGAAACTGGGCTGAGTTAGCAAAATTGACTAGTTGGGGACATTCCTAATTCTACCATAGAAATAAAGAAAAGAGCCGGGTGGTGGTGGTGCACAACTTTAATCCCAGCACCGTGAGTTCGAGGCCAGCCTGGTCTACAGAGTGAGTTCCAGGACATCCAGGGCTGTTACACAAAGGAATCTTGTCTTGAAAAAGATAGAAATAGAGAAAAGAACGCTAAAAAGAAAGGACAATGGGTCCCACAGGCCACAGAAACAGGAATCATGTCAGCATCCACTATGCTTTGGTCAATAGGTGCACACTCTAGGCCCGGTTGGAAAGGCAAACTGGCAAGAACGAAGCTTTGCTCTCACCCAGACGATGTGGTGCACGGTGTAGATGTCGCTGTCTCCCACGTACACACGGATGGCGCGGATGGTAAATCCATAGTTCTTCCCTGAACTGTGGATCACAATGGGCTGGTGGGGACTGGCAGAGGCTGCTGAAGAGTCTCGGCTGGGAGAGGAATCCCGTGAGGAGGAAGGGTCGGAGGACAAGGAGTGTGGGGACATTGGACTTCCCAATGGAGACACAGCAAACATATCTGCCACAAAGAAGCCGGCGTCAAAGGGCATCCAGGGCACAGCCACCCTCCCCATGGGGAGCCCCACCACACTCAGGAGAACAAAGAGCGGTCCTGAAAAAAATCCCTTGTTTTTAATGGGAAAAGAACAACGCATATCAAAAAAGCTTGTATCGGTAACTAGCTTGGATGTGAAACTCAAGCCTACTGAAGGAACATCAACAGGGTTTTTCTTGTTTAATGTTTCAATCAATACTCTAAAAGTGAGAATTTTTGGTTTTTCTACACAGAGTTTGCTGGTTGTGGTGTCTTTAAATTATTTCAGTGAAATAAATCATTTATAGATGCATGTATTTATAGTATATCTTCACAAGAGCAGACTATGTGTTGTACAATGAGATGTACTCTTCTCCAAATCTTATACTAAACAATCTAACGTGATTCTCCAAATACACATGGCAGGAAACAAGGATCAATTACCAGCTGCTTTTTGCAATGTTACTGAGCTAGTACTTATTAACACATTTCAATTGAGAAACTTAGCCATAAGAGAATGACTGCGGTTACAAGTGCTCCCCTTTACACAGCAGCTTCAAAGAATAGTGTCTCTTCAAGGATAAAGAAGGCCAGATACATGCTGAGAGCGAATCAGCTCACATCCCCAAATGCCATCTCTACTCCATTTCAGAAGCAAACTTCTGTTTTTGAGTATTTCTATTCTCCAAGACTCAGAAACTGAAAGAAACCTAATCCCCAAGGTAATGGTATTTGGAAAATAATTAGATCATGAGGACTCTGTTTCTGGTGATGGGGTTAGTGTGTTTCTGGAAGAGGCCTGAGAGCCTTTAGGAGATGCCATGTGTGTGAAACAAGACACCAGAGGCCTTGACTGGGCATTTCTGCCTGTACAGCCATGAACAATAGATTCTACTCTCTATAACTTATCTGAACATAAGGTATTATAGCAGCCAGAGCAAATACAATGCAAGCTCACTGTTCTATGTGAATGTATATGGATCTTAACTAGTCATGGAAGTGTGTGTGTGTGTGTGTGTGTGTGTGTTCTGAGAAGACATAGTCATCTACAGAGCGTGCTGAGGTTAAATGTGAACTTGGTTAGAACAAGGCAACAAGGTGCTGCTGGAGACTCAGAGGGACATGGCAAGACCTAATGTGGTCCCAGTAAGGTGCACAGTCACGTGCTCTAAACACATCGCTCTAAAGTCCAAACAAGAGTAAAGCTAAGTGTATTACTGCAAGTGTTTGTCCTTTGACGCTGACTTCATTTGCCACATAGAGTCTCCTTACTGATACTTGTCTGTCTAATCCAAAGGCCAGATAAAAAGAGGTCATTGGTGGATGGGGACCTTCATGATAGGTGAGTGGAGAACAGAGCAGACACTCAAGACTCAAACTGTGGGAAGGCCAGGACCCCTCTTCTTTACTACATGGTGGTCTTCCTTTCCTCTACAAATGGTGTTACTTCCCTCTTTTTCCAACGTGCAGGCTACGCCACCTGCTTGTCCAGATGGACTAGACTGCAGTGAACTGCCCTTCCTTGTGGCACAGGGACAGTGGGGCCACATTTGAAATATGCATGGCCAGACTGACAACAGAGATAGGCGTTTGCCCTAGTGGGCTCAATGGAATGTTTCCTAGCAAAGGAATTTGCACTATGCTTTTAAGAACATTTGTTTATATCCATTTTTGTACAAATATGAAATGTAAAAAAGTAATCTCTTGGACACCGAGTTTGTATTATTCCCAATACATATCACCTCTAAAAGGATTCAGGTGCCAGGTCTACAATCTCTCTCACAGAGAGATGGCATGACCATCACTGTATATTTCATCTATGCCAGACTTACTCATCAGTAGATGCAAAACCGAGTCATAGAAAAACACCACAATCCACCAAAACCACAGTTAAGTCCGGTTTGGTTTCCCAAAACAGGGCAGAGGTTAATTTGCCTACTAGCTGGACAAAGCAAAGCTCAGTCCACAAGATTGGGGAAACATCTTATTTTAGTGCTTCCTGTGAAGAAATTCTCTGCCATCTCCAGAAACGTGAAGCTTCCATTCTGTGTCTGTTTCCTCATTAATTAGATGATGTAAAACACACCTAGCTTTCCAACACCTGAGCTGTAGACAGCTCTGGAACGTACACACACAGTACGTGGTCTACTGAAGAGCTATCCCAGGGAGGGAAATTCATTATTTAGCTGGTGGGGGAGGAAAGGGGCTTTAAGAAAAACAAATGAAATCTGCCTTCGTGGGAAGGAAACAGCTCTCGTCTCATCCACAGAAACAGAACGGAAACTGAGACAGACATGCACATGCTCTCTGGGTGCCCCGAGGTCCTGGAGGGGGAAATTCATGGCGTGTTAGGCGAAGGCCCTGGAGAACTGTCCTGCGGTCCCACCCATGATTGCCTCATGCAATCTTGCATTTCAATCAGCATTCCGGGCTGGGGGGAGGAGGGAGAGGAGCGCATGCACAAATCACACAGTCTCATGCGAGTTGATGTCTCTCTACCTCCTGGGATCATGAGGGACAGAGCACTGGCAGAGAGGGACTTTGTGACTTTGCCCGACATTTTCTTTTTCTCTGTGCTTTCTAATCGCTGCCGAGCCATGTGAGAGGTGGGTTCACTGGATGGCTTTGAGGTGTTATCTGTACTGTCCACACACTCGCTTCGCCCATTTATCTGATCCAAGTGCTCTGAAAAACTGCCAACTGTACAAAGAAGAAGAAGAAGGAATAAACACATTCAGGGAAAGTTAGGATAGGAGAGGTGGAGATGGGAACAGAGAGAGAAAAGGACGGCCCAGCACTGGGTACTTGCACCCTGGCTCCTGGGCAAATGTGCCAGGCTGAGTGTGAAAAGCAATGGGCTTGAGAACGATGCTCTGGAGGATAGAGGCGCTATCTATGAGGCTTCATTCTCCTGTACACGGTTAGGTACGCTCTTAATGACTGCATTTAACTAGGAGAATACTTCCTACAATCTATCATTTCAGAACCCTCGGAGAGTGTCCTCCCATGGGCCTTCATGGAGGTCATCTCATAAACCCACCAACCTCCCCCTCAGACTGATACTAGTGATTATCAGGACTGCTGCTAATCATCTGGACAGAGGGACACCATTTAATCACGCCGAAGGCTATGTCTGTTTGTCCCTTCCTCTCAACTTCCCAAGATAACATGGGCCCGGGTCTGTAAGTCACAGAAAGAATCAGTTCCTTCCATGCCTGTTTTCACTCCAAGCTCTTTGTAAGTTTCAAAGGACATGATACAAGATACCATTCCCCATATCACTTAGTAGCAAACTCCGTCTTCCCAGCTTTCAATCTAGACTGTGACTTGTACTGGTCCCCGAACATCCCCCTCCATCTCCTCTGAGACACACCTTTCTCTGTAAGTTTACTAACCCCTAATGTACAGTGGGGTTACTTCTAAGTTAAAACATTAGGACTTTCCCTAAGAATAGAAACATGTAGGAGTGTGGTGAGATGGATAATCACAGAGTCCGAGCGTAAGGTAATTCTCAGGTAGAGAGATGTGATTCGTCCCACAGAGACAAACTGAGCAGTCTGTCTGTATTCCTTTTCTTTATTCACCAAGCTAAACATCTTCTGGTTTAAAAATCACTGATAATACTTTTTTTTTCCTGTCCAGATCTCATAAATATCTCAAATTCTATGCTTTTGAGATACAACATAAAATTCTATATTCTAGGATTCCTGTGCACAAACTCATTAATGCTACTGTCATAGATCTATAAAGCATGTCTGGTATGTGATACCATTGCAAAGGATTTTCTGAATGACTAGCCAGCTCATCTTAAAATGCTGGCCACACAGGATTCTCTGTGTGGAAAAGAGCTGGCCTACACGACACACATCCCACTCAACTGCACAGCTCTTGTCTGGCCGAGTTTGTGGAGGGGCATACACCTTTTGGGTCTAAGGGGAAGCCCAGCATGTGAAACTGGCAGATGTGGCTACGGCACGCTTCATGGCCATCCACGGTGCTGTGCAAACAGGAAAGTTTCCTGGACTTCTACAATAACGCCCACTAGGGCCAACGGAATATGGGAATCTTAAGGCAGATATCACCAGCCTTCCCCTTCTTTGGCAATATCTTCTCATCTACTAGTGCAACTAGCCTGCTCCCTCAAAGAAGTCTGTTGCTTGGAGGACCTGATGAAAACTGTTTCACCAGCCAGAAACGTCTCCCCTCTACACTGAAGCTGCGCTTCGGATGAGTCACTTCCTTTCTGAGTGGGTTCAGGTGGGTGGAGTGACATGTAAAAACGCAAACAAAGGGCTGCCTCTCCTCACAATGAATAATTTGTTGGGCGCATCGCGGCTCTCATTTCACAACTGTGACTTCTCCGGGGTTCAAGAACAATGTAGTCAAGGAGAAAAGCGAAACAGACACCAACGTGTGCTTTCCCAAATGTCAGCATGGATGCACACTATCTCCTTCTCCCGTCCCTCCCGCTTCCTTCCCCAACCTCACTTTACAGCGCTGTGCATAAGCAAGTGCCTCTTTCTGCCAATGGCAGGTAATGTCACCTTAATGTTCTCTAAATGTCAAGGGTTCCTTCTTTTTGATGGTGGAGCAATATAAAATTCCACAAATTTAATTTTACTGCAGCCACGCTTCTCAGGTTCCTTAATTACCCTTGGCTGTAAGCAAATCAACGCTCGTCTTCCTCTTCTGTGCAGCCCCCAAGGTCTTTGATTATTTTTAGTGTGTGTATGGGGGAGACAGGGTGAGGAAAGGTGGGTTGACACTATTAATCAAAACGCATGGCAGGACCTCAGCAGATATTTTTAATTATGAAAGTAATCCATCAAGTACTTAGACATTACTCTTCCTCTCCCCTTCACCTGCTACCTTTCTGATCGTGAGGAGGCTCAGGATACTGAGATATGGTAAACAAGAACTTTTCAATGGAGGTGAGTACACTTCATATTCAGGGTAAGGCAACAGAGAACCAGACAGAGACCCCTATAACCAGAAATATAAAATACTGAGCCCCTACATTTGATATGAAGAGTAAGGTAAGCATGGCCAGGAACCTTAGAATAATAAGATGTACCTGTACTATTTTTACAATGGTATTATCTTGGCTTCATAGTTAAGACTAAATGGGATTACCCAGCATGGAAACAGAATTGATGTGTAAAAAGAGAAAAAGAAAACTCAGTATTAGTTTCACAGGTCAACTATAAGCATGTATGATCCACAGACCCAACCATTTTAGGGATACTGAAATCTCCCTGAAAGATTTTTAGAAATATGATTTAAAAAAAAAACCTTTCACTATGAACATTCAGTTTAAAAATGTTGATGGAAACTCTTGGAATAATTTATGCTTATTAGTATAGCATATTAAATATGGCGTAATGAAAACATTTATTACAGCAACTATAAGTCAAAGCCATCTCTTGCTTTTTTTTTTTTTAAGTATAAACCCACCCTACTTTGCAGAAGGATGTGCTATTAGACAGCCTTAATAAATCAAATGATGTCATAAACGCACCTAAGTGGCATGTTTGAGGGAAGTAAGTTGAAGTCTGGTCCTTTAAGGAAAACACCTCCTCGGTTAAGAGCCAGGAAGCGGTAATGAGATATGAAGGGCTTTAAAAGCTTCTGAAGACAATGCTCCTGTTGACAGGAAGCTTATTCCACACAAAGGGACACAAGGGCTGTCAGAGAGCAGCCCAGATACTTGTCTTCACCCCAGCAAGCAGAGAAGCTTCAGGGATGTCAGACTCCATTTGCCCGAGACTGAGAAGCATCAACTACACACAGAGGTGCTGTTTCAGATGCAATCCGACACCAGCGGAGACACAGTGGGATTTCTCACTCCCCTCTCAGGTGGCCTGTGAACTCCACAGTCTAAGCACTTTGCTACAGTCAGTGAGGTTCGTGGCCAGGGACTGGTAGAACAAGGTGTGTCTGGTACAACACGACCCAATAACAGGATCTGAATCCCTCAAAGACGCTCCCATGGAGCTCGGCGCTGGAGGCAAAGCTGGCTTCATACTTCATCTTATAGGTGACTGGAGCCATTTTCAAAGTGAACTGTGATGGTGGGTGTGTGTGTGACAATGGACCTCACTCTAAGTCGGATTTGTGCTACACGCTCTGCTGTTTCATCAGCAGCCATGAACATGCTCCTTTGGCAGGTCCGGCCTGCCACCAGAGGACCCCACTGAAGCTGGCAGTGTAAGTGGCCCCCAAGGTCCAGCTGAAGCCAAGTCCGCCTGCTGCATGGCTGGGCAGAGCTGAAACAGCGGACCCGAGTTCTTAGGAGCTTGTCCCTAAAGAAGGGGGGCCACGGGAGAAAGCTAGGAGGAGAGAGACGCTCACCCTGACGGTCTGGTTGGGTAAGGCCTGGGACTCAGCGTGCTTAGGGCCACTTCCCAGCATGGCCCCCGAGCAGAGCGGCCATGGCCACCACTTACCGGACAGTGTGGAACTGCTGATGGTGCTGGCCGGGGTGGTGACCTCGGGCTCCTCCTGGGGACACTCCTCAGCGGGGAGGACTGGCTTTTCTGGCTCCTCTCTGGGGTCTCCAGAGCACGGGGCAGCGTCATCGTGTTCTCCCTCTGTTGAGATAGCCAGTTTGGGAAGCAGTCCGGAACTGAGCTTGCATCTGTTGCTTTCGGTGTCTGAAGAGTTGGAGGTCGATAACTGTTGCCTTAATGAGAGACAAGAACAAGTCACACATATGCCCCCAGGGAAACCATTAAGGGCGAAGGCTTGAGGAAACCTGGTGAGCCAGGCAGCGGTGGTGGCGCACGCCTTTAATCCCAGCACTCGGGAGGCAGAGCCAGGTGGATCTCTGTGAATTCGAGGCCAGCCTGATCTATAGAGTGAGATCCAGGACAGGCACCAAAACTACACAGAGAAACCCTGTCTCAAAAAACCTGGTAAAGCAGTGTATGCCTAGGGCAATGGTTCTGACGGTATGGTACCAGGTGTCAGCTCAAGCAGGGGACACAAGCGGAGTACAGGCTTTCAGCAGCAGTCTGTGGTCTACTGTACTGAGAACTCTGGAGGCGGGTCTGGGGTGCACTACATTAGTAGCCACCGCTTATGAGGGCCCTGGGGAGGCATCTCACGTACACTTCTGAGTATTCGGAGCTCCAGCTGAGCGTCTCCGTTGATGGCAGAGTTGTGCTTTTGGTTTTGTCCTCTGTGTCTTCTTTGTCCTCTCCTGAATTCGGAGTTATTCGGTCTATACTGCTGAAAACCTGGGAGGCAAATGATCATTGCTGTAGCTGGAGTTTTCTCCAGTCCCACCGGGGCCCGCAGCTGCTCAGACCCAAATAAACACACAGAGGCTTATATTATTAATTAAAGCTGAATGGCCTAATGGCTCAGGCTTCTTGTGAGCTAGATCTTACATCTTAAAATAACCCATTTCTATAAATCTATACTTTGCCACGTGGCTCGTGGCTTACCAGTTATCTTTACATCTTGCTTCTCATGGCGGAGGCTGGCAGCATCTCCTCCGTTCTGCCTTTTTCCTTCTCCCTCTCTAGTTAGAATGTCCTGCCTAACCCTATTCTGCCTCACCATTGGCCAAACAGCTTTATTTATCAACCAATCAGAGCAACATATTTTCAGCCTACAGAGCAATATCCATAGCACATTGCTTACAAATCACATCTAAAAAGAGCCTGTCAGAAAGAGTCCAAGTCTTGGAAAAAATACCGCCACCCTGAGTATACAATTAGTGTGAACTGGGGAAACATGTATGTGGGAACCCTGGCAACGCTGTGCGCATGCCACAAGAGAGAACCCCATTTTCACCATACCTCATGGACTCTGTATCTGCAAAGAAAAATCGGAGAGTCTGGTTTCATGTTCAAAAAGTAACCAGAAAGAGAAAACAACAAAGACAAAAAGTATCTGATGGCCACCAGTCCCGAGCAGAAAGGAGAAAAACAAATTGAAATTGAGTGTGAGTAGAAGAGTGAGTGACAGCCTTGTCAGTACTTGGAGTGGTGGGGTTCTGTGGAAGGAGAAAGGGGGCACCACCAGGCGTGCGGCTTGGCCTGTGAGTCAGTCAGGCAGCTGCTGGTGCGGGAGGCCGGAGCTCAGGCAGACTGGTCTCTTTTAGTCCATTTCTGAATCTCCACTCTCTCACGGGAAACACAGGAGGAAACTGGGAGTATGGAGAGCCCAGTATGACAAGCGCACCCAACTGTTACCCTACAGCTACCCACTGTTCTCATGGAAATGGGCCTTGGGCTTACCACGATCTGTAGAGTTAGAAAAGCATCAGGTTAAAGAACAGGAGCTGGGGAAAGTAAAATACCTTCCAAAGTAAAGAAGCAAACTGTTGAGGTGAGCAGACTGAGAGGCTGGACGGTGGGTTACACTGTAAGTACCCATCGAATGGTAGTTACACTTGCTTCAGGACACACTCGCCACAGGTCCCCAGGGAAATCCCTACCCCTATGTTGTTCCTGTAAACGGCTGACTTGCAGATGCATTCTGGGTAATCACTTAGGAAAATGTACAGAGCACTTTACAAATCACAAATTGCTATAGACTTCCTAAATAACAATCATGGGAAATGCCATGGCAACCACAAATGTGTAGCAAGTGAAAACAGCAGAAGAAAGGAAGGGTGCCCTCTGGGTTTATTTCCATCTTCCCTGGGCTCCCACCCTACCCGAAAACACCCGTTTTGTTTGTTTTTACATCTTACCTGAATTTATAGAAAGGCATTTTCTTAAGAATCAATTATATTATCTTCTGCCATTTCTAAAATTCTAGAGTGGCTTCCTACCACCTTTTCAAAGTAACTGACAATCTTTATTAATTACGCCCCCCCCCCAATACTTTCTCATCCCACAGTCAACTGTCTCCAGGTGCCCTGGCTCATGCCTAGAGCTGAGCTTTACCCCTGTGTCACGCTCGGTGTCACACTGCGGGAGATCTCCCCACCCCACGAACGAAGCCTCTGCTCTTTCTTAGATGACAGGGGAAGTGGTGTGAGGCCTCCACAGCCTAGCTCTTAGGGCAGGCAAGCAAGTCCATCCGGTGACACCTGTCACGGTCAGCACGTCCATCAGGTGACAACCATCATGAAAAGATGGCAGTCTTTTCGAGTCTTTGCCTCAAAACAAAGCAAACAGTAACAACAAACTCCCAAAGTCAGGCCTTAATTTCCAGAGACAAGCGGATATGTCTACAGGGTAGAAACTCCTGGTCCTCAAGAAAATGAGGCCATTTGCCCAAACGGACCAGGAGTTTTATGTGCTGGAGACCTCACACCCCACAGAGGGTAGATGTTTTCTTGGTCCAGTCCAGTGGGGCTGGACACCAGCTACTGGAGACCTTTCCAGATTCTGCCTGCTGATGCCCCGCCTCACTTACTTTTGAAAACCTGTGTGAACAGGAGGAAAACTGCCGTATCTCCACAGTGAAGTCCTCATCGTTGGTGTCCTCTTCCTCCTCCGTTTCCATGTGATGATACTTCTCTGACCGAGCTGCAGAGGAATGTAACAGTCTGGGTTACTCAGAGAGTTTCAGTTTTTAACAGGGACAACTTCACTATGTATACCTAGAGGAAAGCACTGTGCTTCCTAGAATCTGTGGGTATGAGATCGGCAAGCTCGAAGTTGGAGATGGAATGTTTTTAAAGTGAGTAAAGGCCAAAGGATGTCAGATGATGCACATACTATCAAAATAACTTGTGTCATCCTCCGATTCCAGTTGGGGAATAAATTCCGCCTTCTGTCTCAGCAAACTGTTCCAATCCAAGGAACGGAAGAACCGATGCTGCTTCACTTCATAGGCACCACCTGGGAGGGAGCAAAGCAAGGCAGACGTGAGCGGCCGAGCCGTCCTCGGAGCCAAAGGAAGCCCCGAGTCTTACAAAGCACTTAAAGCATTTATTAGCAGAGAAACGAAGAAGCCATGGAATCCATACTTCCCACCCACTTCTACAACCAAAACTTGGGGGGAAAAATTCCTGTAATTTATCAGCAGGAAATCTGATTTTGCTAAGAGCAATTGCTGTAGCACAGCATTTCTCTGTTAGTTTTTCTACAGCTTCTTCCATTTTTCAAAGGTTAATGACATGGCCACTTAAAATCACATTATACTGAACCTGGGGACATGGATGCATGTTGGCCCAAAGCAGAATGGCTCATTACAAACCCAGAAAATTCTAACAAGGTGCAAAAATGTGCTTACAGCAAGATTTTTTTTTTCCTGGAGAGAAGGTTAACAGTGATGAATTTTTCCTAAATATTATATAATGGTTACTTTTCAGTTTTATCGGATTGCTCATTAACATAGGTAGGAATTAGATTCTGTGGTTTGGATCTTTGAGTAAGGAACTGACAGATTTATAATTTAGCTAACAGAAACCAGTCACAATGGCTAAAGTTGAGCCTTCTGGTTTCCAGATAATGGTCGCAGCACAATTTGTTGAGAGGTTTTTATTTATTGGATGATTTTAGACAGTGGCTTTGAAGGGCAAGGCCCATCAAAAATGTATTTACAGCATCCCATTAAAAGAGAAGAAGGTCTTTCCTTGGTCCTTCACTTTGTCCCCCTGGTGTGTTCTCCCCTCCCTCCCCTCCCTTCATTCACTGTCAACAATGGTTAGTGGGAGGTTCCATGCAACCCTAAGACAGTCCTGTGGGAGTCCATGGCCAGTTTGTTTTCTTCTGTCCTTCCAAGCTAGCAGGTGTTTGGAACTGGGGAAAAATTCCCACCAACCGCTGCTGTTACAGTTAAATAAAGACCCTGAATACTGAAAAAAAAAAAAAAAAAAAAAAAGAAGAAGAAGAGGGTCACATGGTAAGGGCAGGACCCTGCACTACCCCAGCACACATACTATAGATGGGAGAGGACAAAGACAGGAGCCTGAAAAAGCACCATGAAGAAAGCTAGCAAAAGACCAGCTGGGCGGTGGTGGTGCACGCCTTTAATCCCAGCACTTGGGAGGCAGAGCCAGAGCCAGAGCCAGGTGGATCTCTGTGAGTTCAAGGCCAGCCTGGTCTAAAGAGTGAGTTCCAGGAAAGGCGCAAAGCTACACAGAGAAACCCTGTCTCAAAAAAAAACAAAAACAAACAGACAAACAAAAAGACCAGCACAGAGTCTGTCCGATCTGCCTCTGTCCAGCTTTCTTTTAGGGGAGGATGTAGACACTTCTCTCAGTGATTGTCACCCATGCCTCTCATCTCATCTGTGGGTACAAAAGGGTCAGAATGGAAAAGGCAAGACATCGGCTGGGGCAGGGATGCTATTTGTGGTCCAGAGACACTGCTCTGTGCACATTTCAGGAGTTCTGAAGGCACTGGAATGGCGGGGAAGGAAAAAAGATAAATCGTGCCAAGAGGGGCCAAGCAACTGTTTTTTACGAAGCACATGGATGAGACACTTCCAAGATTCTCTGCAAGTACTTTTCTCAGCTTCCAGATCAATTCCAAACTGAGAAACCACAGCACCAGGGGCTTCCCTGCTATAATCTGCAGGTCATTTTTGTGCTGAGTATTGAGGTAGATAGAAAGACAGGGAAAACGAAGCAGGTGTGAGAAAGGAAGAGAATCCCCTCAACCCCAAGTATCTGCTTTATGTTTCTTACTGGCTGAGGGTAAAAAATTTCTATTTGACTGACAAAATCCAAATTTCTGTTAAAGACTCCCTGCAAAGAGAAATACTTCCTTTGCCATATATAGCTCAAAAAAGAAAAAAATAATAATAAAGTGTTATAGCAGCTAACAAATCATGCTTAAGGCCCAAATGCATGTCTTAAATACTTGCACCCTATGATTTGAACCTTATTGTACTCCTTTCTCATCCCTAAACCCAAATAATGCCTCTAATAAGCCACCCTGTAATTTTATTCATAAAAGGTAATTCGTATAGAAAAAAAAATAAGCAAACCAGCTCGTAGTTTTAGAACTTTACTTAATCTTTTGAATCTGCTTATAAATTATAGCCTTTGAGCCTGTTACTTGCTGAGCCACAAAATCACATAGCTATTGTTAGAACACTTGTATCCCTTTTTCTTAATGCCTGCACCCTGGTTCTGCCTTTGAGTGGGCACTGTTCGTTCCTTAGTGAACCCCAACTTTGCTTCATGCTATCTTACCCTGAAATTCTTGGCTGCAGTGCAAGCGAGGGTTCCACGTCCATCTAGGCACTGAGCTTCTGTGGGGACCCCTGAGGTGACATCCTGTCCTGACCGTACTGTTGTCAATGCCATAGTTACTGTGTTTCGTCTACTCAAATCACGGAAAATACCCCTGGAGAGGGTCGGCATTATCGACCCCAGTTTTAGATGGGGAAACCAAAGAAAAGCAACAGAGCTAGCCTGGGCTAGTTCCTCCAGACAAGAAGAATAAGAAGGCTGCACCTAGGTCTGCCTAAAACTACGCAGGCCCAGACGCGGGGCCACAGTGTCACCTCTACACAGGGACCCCATGTTTTAGTTGCTCCCCACTTCATTCTTTCTCCTGCTAGTGTGAAATGCATCCACTGTTGCCCAGGCTGGGTAGCTGAGCCAGTTGGCAAGCCTGTTCTATGGCACCCCCATATCCCAGTCCAGCCCACTGAGCCCTGCTTCCCTTTCAGCTCCCAATGAATGCCCTCTTAAACTCCTATCGGGGTCATTTTTCTTCTAGCGTTTCTTTATTTGGAGGAGCAAAGCACAAAGGCCAAGAGGGATTGCACATTTCCCCATCCCACTGCCTCTCCATGGTGCTGATACTGAGATCCAGTGCCAAGTCCCGATGAGTGGTCCATGACAGGCATCCCGGGATTCTCAGCCCAGCCATGGCTCCATGACCATAACCATCAAAGCAGCTGCTGCTGCTCACGAAGCCCTGTCCATAACACTGCTCTGAAATTCTGGGCATTTATACCCGGAGAAGCAATTCTTCTAAGGTCATTGACTCACATGATACTGCCACCATCTACTTCTCTATGGAACTCAAGCTGAGGAGAACTCTGCTTCCTTCCTCTGGACAATGACAAGGGGGTCTTCCCCAATGGGTCACAACCACAGAGGATGTAGCTCCCAATTTCTTCACACTGACCTTTCTGCCTTAACCAGCAAGAGGCAAGTTATGAGCAGGCCCTGTTTTTCGTGTACTCGTGGAAGGATGAAGAAGAAAAGATGAAGGGAGAATAAACATGGGGAGATGATCTCTGGGCTTAACTGCTGGCAAAGGCATAGGGGCCGGCATTGTGAACTACGTGCAGATTGCTCATGCATGCTGGAAGGAGGGAGATGGAGGGAAAGAGGCTGTCTTGATCTCCTGGTAACCAGCTAGTTCCATGTACAAGACCCCGACATGGACATCACTGTATATAGTCCCCGCGATAATCCTGAGATGTTCAATATGCCCATTCTCATACCCTAGGGAACTGGGAAACTGAGGCTGATGACAAGAAAGAGACAGCCCTAAGAGCTCCCAGCTGATCTACAGTTGGCAGTCCTATCTGAACGGCTCTAAGGTCAGCCAGCAAGCCAGGCTGCCACTCAACTCTCTCCAAGTTCAAGAGTCTGTATAGTTCCAGCACAGCACAAGATCCTACACTACAATTTCTAGCTTGGCACTCCAGCACTCCCTCGAGTTCCTCTTCTTTCCTGGAAGCTTCTTAAACATTCATTATGCTCTTTACAGCCTTTTTTTTTTTCCCCCTCGGCCTCTCCAGTGTCTCAGGCAAATGTGCATCCACACATTTTCACGGTGCATTATTTTGCCTGCTAAATATTCGTCGTACACAAGATGCTGTCATTGGAAGCAGCATGGCAGGCCTGCAGGATCCGCAACATCCTTCTCAAGGCCCTACTGGGACCCATCACATCAGCCCTGGCGGTTTGGCAATCACTTCTCAGCTGTTCTGAGAGCTTGAGTAGGACCTTTAAATGTCTCTTTTGGGTTTCTCCTAGGGAATTTGCTCTTCAAACTGTCAGAGACTGACAGTAGCAGTCAATGAGAAAATGTGCAGAGAGATAACCTGCAGCATATGATATATACGCAGGGACCTGCTGGCCGCAGTCTCTGGCCTGTCTGGTTAGGTTAAGTCTAATCAAAGATCCTAGTATTCTTAGAGAAGGCAGAGGGCAGACTATCAAGTGGAAAACCTCCAAACTGGCCCTTGGGGACTGCAGGGGAGGGGACTGTTGAGCCTCCTTTGGAGGGGTGTACCCATTCAAATGCATTTTTCAGTCAATTCATAGAAGCCCTTCTTCTGGGTCAGTTGAATGGGGAATCCAAATAGGTATCTGTGCTATCACAGGGCAACCTCGAAAAGCAGCTGGTTCTCACAGTTGGCAACACCGAGTCAAAACCTCCCCTGAAGAATCTGCCCCTACGCAGTCGTGACACCATTTCTTTGACAGCTACTCTTATTTCTTGAACCATAACACAGATCTATCCGAGGGCAGGTCACAGGAGGAGGGAAATAATGAGTTTGTTTGACAGTTCGGACAAGTGGAAAGGCAGACAGGATGGGAAGAAACAAACTCCTATCAAGGAGTAAAGTGGGTTCCAAGGTAGTCACACCACCACCACGCCATGGCCCCTACCCAAAAGGAAGGTATGGGGCTCCACAAGCGGAAGACTGAATGTAGTACCAGAAGCGTCACATCTGGCTCTAAGAATTACTTCCAGGTGACACCCTCATCCCTCACAATGATGCCTTGAGGGAGCATGAGTGAAGAAAACCCGCTCTTGGCCACACAGCCAGGATTTGGATTCTAGCCATCTTGCCCCAGTGTGTGCCCTCAACCTAGATCTTCAAGGCCTTTTTCCAGGGTAAAGCACACTCATTCCCTGAAAGGGGCAGTAAGGGACATGGGACTCCAGTAGGCAGCTCAGCTCAATAGTTATTTCCAAGGTCAGTCCAGATTTAAGTCTTCCTGAGTTCTCTAACAAGGGGTCTGTAAAATTTCTGTGGAACAGGCAGAACAGTCCATATTTAGTCTACATGGGCTATATAGTTTGTCATGACTACCCAGCTCTGGTGTTGTAGCATGAAAGCAATCACAGATGATATGTCTCATAAGAAGACATTGCTGTGTTTCTGCTTTAAAAAAAATTATTTATAAAAAAACAGGGAACTGGACAGATTTGGCCTACAGGCCATAGTTTTCTGGCCCCTGATTTAATGTATTATCATTAAAGCTCTAGTGTAATGTAATGAGTACTTTTTTTTTTTTTAATGAAACAGGGTCTCATGTAGCCCAGGCTGGCCCTGAATGCACCATGTAGCCAAGGATGATCTTGATCTCCTGATCCTTTTGCCACTACATCCTAAATGCCGTGATTACAGGCTTGTGCCACTGGGCCTGGCCTTCAGTAGTCCACACATAAACAAGAACAGATGCAGAGGAATCCGTGGCTCAAGTGGAGAATACGGGACATATTTGGAATCATCACAAATGACTGTCATGGGGAAAATGGGGGAGGAAATGATTGCTTCAGTCTTTACTGATATTTCTATTATAATGGAATAGAATGAAACTCCGGAATAAATGACCCCATCAAACCAACAATTTTCACTGATAAAGCCACTAGTCACTGTCTAGAGTATATGCATTTATATTTAACATTTTTGTCTAAGACAAATTCACCTAGGCAGACCTGATGCTATCCCGTGATCTAAGTGTGTCTATCCAGAATATCGAGGGGGGAGGGGGGAGGGGAGGAAGCATGTAACTTCTGGCTGTAAAGCTAGGGGGACCATATCGGCAAGAAACAAACGGACCACCTTGCCTGTCTTCCAAGGCAATGGTTTACTCAATCCCCTCCCTTGGGTCATGGTACTGAGCACCACCATAGGGACAGCATGGCTAAGCCCCAGGCCCTCACTTCTAGTCATCAGGTGGAGAACTGAAGACCTATAATAAAGAAGCCTGCTGGGTCAAATCCTCATGGGATATAGGCTATAAACATAACCCAAAAGAGCACTACATATCTGATTTCCTGTTTCCAATTATTTATGTTGCACGTTTTTCAGGAGAAGATTGGCACATGCCCTGGTGATGCATTTACTGAAACAAATTAAGAGCTTCAGCTTTGCAAAACACAAAAAACGAACACGACCTACCCATTCTAGTGTATATATTATTGTAAATCTCTCTCTCTCTCTCTCTCTCTCTCTCTCTCTCTCTCTCTCTCTCTCTCTCTCTCTCTCACACACACACACATACACACACACACCCCAAAGAATATTGCTCTAATGTGTTGTAGCTATGTCCTACATCAACTAACAGATGTTGCCCACACAGAAAACATTAGCAAAAGCCTCAGACTGCTCCAGAGAACATTATTTCTTGTATATTGGCAAAAGCAACACACACGCTCTCTAACCTGTTCCCAGCCTCTCCAGTGGATTCTGCCTGAGAAGCAAGGTAATCAGATCCTGGGCATCTGGAGGAGGGGCCTCATCCTTTTCAGGCCAGTTGATTTCATCTGAAAGAAAGAAAAGTTGTCTATAGCTTTATTACTCAAAGGGCAGTCTAGTTCCCCATAGCCCAGACATCCCCAGGAGGACTGTTAGAAATGCAGAATCCTGGGCTCCATCCTGGAAACCTAACCTACATTTTAAGATCTTCAGTTGACTTCTACATGGCCAAGTTTGGACGGTATTATTTTACAAGGCACAAACAGCACCGTTTTCTTCAGGCTTAAGATTAGACTATTTCAGCAAAATAGAACCTATTATTCACTTTTTCCAATGGTAGAAATGTCTCCTAACAAGTCACTCCTCCTGCCCATTAGGAGGATTTAACAAGACAGAAACTGAACAGCTGCATGTCAAGGGCCTACCCACTGGGGACCATCCAAGTGTAAGAGTTTTTTCACTAGCCTAAACAGAGAATTTGGTCCTGGCCACCCAGTTCTTTAGCTCCAAGGAGTAAAAGGCTATTTTATAAAAAGTAATTATTTCTAGAGATAAAGGTAAAGTCCAAAATGTTAAGGCTGAGGCAGAGAAAAACCCAAGGAAATTGTAGTAATGGGAGTATTTAAAATCTGTCCAAGATATTAGACAATGTTCTTGCTCTAAAAGAGTTTGCCTGGAGATAGGTATGCGTGCTCGTGCGTATGGAAATGCAATAAAAACATGAGTTATTTTCGTGTGTGCCTGCCTCTAGCTTCCTCTGCTGCAGTTGAAATCTGATTTGGAAAATACAACATGAATATGCATCAGAGCCGTGAGGCATCACGAACAAAGCCAGCCCTTGCTGCTTGTGTTAATTAAAGAGTTGATTCCCCTTGCCATTCAGGGCCTTGGTCTGTCAGAAAACAGCCTAGTTATAAATCCATAAACAGCTCAGATATTGTAGAAAGGGCTCTGACACTGCAGGCAATTCCACAACCCTACTTTGTTAAAGTTTACAAATATGCCTGGCTTGCAGAGCCAACGTCAGAAAAATAACAGTACGATTAGTGGCTCTTCATGAGCGACATAAATTTTCCCCTATTTCCATTGCTGGCTGGCAGAAGTGCAGTCCAGGATGGACCAGAGGTGGCCGATGGGGATTTCGGAGAGGCCTGACAACCTTTCAGGTAGAGAAGCCTTTTCTGTCATCTGTGCTTTGGGGGAATTTATAACATCAGCAGGGAGGGGAGCAGTGGCCCCTATTTAATTATCATTTAGGTATGCCACATGCTGCATGACAATAGTTAGGGTCAGCTTGCAGGTTGAGATCTAAAGGTTATTGAATTTTAAATGAAAGATGAACAGCTGCTATAGAAATAACATTACACACCACAACTACCAATGAAAGCATTAGCAATCTGCGGATTCAATTTGCTGCCTTCCCATTCTCATTATTTATTATTTGGTAGACATTTGTTGTAGGGTTTATTACATTTTTGTTAATTTCTTCATTGTGCCATTAGCCATGTTCCCCATTTATGTAAATGTTACCCACATTAACCTTTTCTTCCCTGGTGCAACTTTCCTATTATGAAAATGCAGGACCAGCTAACAATGAAGCATTTATAAATCCCATACCAATTTCTTTTGGAAAAGGTAGACAATTGAAAGTTGGACACACCACGAGCCCATTTCTAAATTCCATGTTAACAAAACTTCCTCAGATCCATTTTAGCACATATCACTCTCTTGAGAACGCTCGAGAGTCAGTTGCGTGTTACGATAAGTGAGTTCTTTTAATTTGTTGGCTCAAATGTTTGATAAAGGTTAACATTTTAGTGACACACAACAGATTTACATTGAGTAGCTGTTTCCCAATAGTGGCTTAAAGATAACTCTGGATGATATTTACCACTGATGACTTGTCCAAATAGCTCTTCTGGGGTGTCCCCAAAGAAAGGCACACACCCAACCAGAAATTCATAGAGGATAATGCCCATGGCCCACCAATCCACGGGCTTCCCATAGCCCTGTCTCAGAATCACCTCAGGGGCAATGTATTCAGGTGTACCACAGACCTAAAATGAAATTGCAATATTAGAATAGCTGGAGTATTAGACATGAATTAAAATGAACAAAATGACTAAACCATTATTCTGCCTCAACTACATTTGTTCACCTACCAGGAAAGACATGGACAGAGACCTCAAGACATTCGAATAACAAAGAACTTACATTTATGATGCTTAGTTTCAAATTGCAAACCTAACCTGTGTGTAGCTTTATGCAATACTAAAAACTAGAGTTTTTTGAGAAATAATAGTACATGTTTAATCTGTCACTATTAAAGGTAGTTCAATTATTTATATAATCAAACTGATTCTCACCGTGGCTCTATCAGGAAGGCATGCCAGTTGAGATGGGTTTACCTTAAGTAACTTCACAATGAACAGATTGTGGGAACATGGTAATGAGGCATGCTTAAAAGGAAATGGGCCATAGCTCGGATTTGAGCAGCTGAGATTGTGCAATGCATCGTGAGTTTCACGAGTACTCTATTGAGACTCCTGAACTCCTTACAAAAACAGTTTTCCATTTGTCTCTCTCACCCTCTCACGCGTGTGCAATTAGACCGTTCATCTTGCTAATAGACCTTAATGCTAGGGGAGGAATGTGAGGGAAGCGGACAGTTCGGAGAGGCCCTGGGAGACAAATGGGAGCAGTTTGCACTTTATTAAACGCAAGGCTGATACAGACATCCAAACACCAGCACTAATGTGGAGCTGGCCTGCGCAGGTGGATTCGGAATTCACTGGCTGCAGTGAGCTTTCTATCTCTCCACGGAGAGAGAGCAGCCTCCAAGCGTACCTGTTTATCTAGGAACTCTCGGGCATCCTTCTCAATATGACCTTCATAGAGATTGGTAGTCATGCTCATCAGTCCCACCTTAGATAACCCAAAGTCGGTCAGCTTTATGTGCCCCATGGAGGTGACCAACAGGCTAAGGACAGAAGGACAAAGAGCACAACAATCACTTGAAAGCAAATGCTGCTGTTTCAGGTCTCCCTCCTCCCCCCTTCAGTTGGTAATACATCAACCACACTGCAGAATGAAGCCTGGTAAGACAGGGAGTCGTGCAAAGCCATAGAGTACTAGCCTTTGGGAGCGGAGTATGATTCGGAACTCAGGGTCAGAGCTAAGGCTCCACTGTCTTTGTTTGGAGCAATGATGTACAATATTATCATTTCTGCAACACTTAGAGACTCTAAAAACTTAGGCATGGGGCACTGATTCCTTTCCATAGTCATACTTATTTCAGTCTATGGCCATAACCACCCTGACTGTGACTGATCTCAGATGTATTTTATTCTTAAAGTTATGTGTATACGTGTGTGTATGGGGGGTGGTATGTGAATAAGGGTGCCTGTGGAGTCCAAAAGAGGGCACAAGAGCCTGTAAAGCTAGAGATAAAGGTGAGGGTGAGTCATCTAATGAGGATGCTGGGAACCAAACTCAGGTCCTCTGTAAAAGCAGTTCTCTTAACCACCGAGCCACCTTTCCATTTTCAGAATAAGAAAACAGAGAAGAAATAATCCAACAGTCCTATAACATATACTAGGAATTCAGGCAAGTAATCCATTCATGAATAAAATGAGACACAGATAAAAAGAATCTGGACAGAGAAACAGTTTTTCATATTTCAACTTCCAGCTTTGATTTGAACTTACTAAGCATGAGCTTGGATTTATTATCTCATGCAAAGAATTTACATTTCAATATATTAAAATATTTCATTGTAAGTAAAAAAAATACCATTCTATCAATTAAAATGTTAAAGTGATAGAGGAGTTTTAAAGAGCTCCTAGCAGGAGGGCCAGGTAGTGGTGGCGCACGCCTTTAATCCCAGCACTCGGGGAGCAGAGGCAGGTGGATCTCTGTGAGTTTGGGGACAGCCTGGCGCACATAGCGAGTTCCAGGACAGCCATGGATATGTACAGAGGTCGTATCTCAAACAAACAAACAAACAAACAAACAAACAAAAAGGCTACGAGCAGTAGTTATGCCAAGATTCTAAGAGTTGTATATGAAATTGTTCTTCCGTTTCCCTGGGTTTTCCAAGCTTTCTGATGTGCAGGGACTTAGACTGTCACCTTTCAACACACTGAGCAGCATCTCTCCCTAGTGAAGAAAGCATGGAACATCCCACACAAGATATCAAGATGAATAGCTTGGGAAAAATTCTAGCTGCATCTCAAATCTGAGGCTACAATAAACTCCACACTAACAAAGTATGAGTGAAATAGAATACCGCATCATGGATATGACCACGGGAAAGGTAAAGTTCATCTCAGTACGATGCCCAATAGCAAATGCTTCAGAAAACAGCACCATTCCATGTCACTGTTCAAAGGTTCACATGATAAAAAGGAAATTAACTCTAGCTTTATTTAGAGTCACTTTTCTCTGTTTCTCATAAGTTCTCATTGTAAGCATTGTAGTCTTTCAAAAAATGTATAAAAATTACCATTAAGTTACTATTAAAATAACTCATTTTTTTATATTAAGGAGAATTTTGGAACTGTGCAAATAGCCTTAAAAACATTTCAGACAGAGGAAAATGTTCAGTGTTATGGAAAAGAGGGCATTGGTTTCATCAATGTGCACATACTTGTCTGGCTTCAAATCCCTGTGTACAATTCCATAATTATGCAGATACTCCAAGGCCAAGACCGTCTCAGCGAAGTACATCCTGGCCATATCGACTGGGAGAGGACCCATGTTTTTCATTAAGGTCGCACAGTCTCCCCCTGTAAGACACAGGAAACAAACTTGGTCAGAACGGTGTCGAGCAGGCTTAGTGAACACCAGCAGTGCGGATCACAGAACTCCAGAGCAGAAGAGTCGCATTCGTAAGTGGAGGAGGCCCTGTTAAGTCGTCATGTTCCTAATTAAGTTGTGGAGGGAAGAAAGCAGCTTGACTCTGAAGTGAACTGTGTTCTGAGGAACCTCTAAGCATAATTCAGGATGATAGCACTAATTTATAATGGAGCAGTATAGAACACAGATGCTAGAATTAGATTACAGAGGTGGAGCCCTACTGTTTCTGAGCAGCCGAGGGCTCTTAGGTGAATCAGTTTGGTGGCCTTGGTTACTTCGATGCATTATCAGGTGAGACATGTCATCCTTGATAGCAGAGGTTTTCAGCCTGTGGGTCGCAATCCCTTTGAGGGTCAAACCATCCCTTCACAGAGGTTGCATATCAGATATCCTGCATATCAGATACTTACATTATGATTCATAACAGTAGAAAAATTATAGTTGTGAAGTGGCAATAAGGTAATTTTATGGTTGAGGGGGTCACCACAACCTGAAGCACCGTATTAAAGGGTCACAGCATGAGGAAGGTTGAGAACCACTGCTTTATAGGATTATTTGAGGTTCATTCTATGTAAAGGAACGAGGACATAGCCTCACACATACCAGTGTGATAAAGAGTCACTATAAGAATAACCACACAATAGTTCAGAAACAAACTACAGGTGTGGTGGAAAGAACAATGGACAGAGCTCAGGCAAATTGTTTGGGGCTCTATCTACCCCTCAGGACCCACTAAGGCTCCCTTTCTTGGCTGCCAATCTACTTATCTGCAAAGCAGAAAGGGTTTAAGTAAAAATCTCTACTGTTTCTTGGAGATTTACAGTGAGGACATTCTCTCCAAATAAAGAAAAGAGCCTAAACCACACTCAGAGAAGAAGGTTTGCGCGTCTGCTGACCTATTTATTTTACTAACTTTATGTCAACAGTGATGATGCTGGATGGAAAGTCTCAGAAATTTAATGGAGAAAGAAATAAGATTTCTTTGAACATTTAAAATGCATACCACAAACTGTTGAGGAGGAGGCTGGGCATGGTAGGTCGGACATGCTAATAACCCAAGCATTCAAGAGACTGAGACAGAAAAATTATCAAGTTTGAGACCTGCTTGGCCATAAAGAAGACTATCTGTTTAAAAAGAAAAAAGGAGGATAGGATGAATATTGAGAAGACTGGCTGGATTTTTAATTTCCTACCATAAGCTAAAAAGGATACATTTTAAATTCACTTTTTAAGAAGACTAATTACAATGAACCCGTTTTATGATATGTGATAAAAGGAAGCAGGAAAAAAAATCTTATCACCTATATTCCAACTTTAATGACCAGTTGAAGGGAGGCAGTTAGGATTAAAAGCTATTAAAAAAGAAAACAACCTTTTCCCAAACAACACTAATTTCCCCTTTGTTATAGTAGCAGGCATTTTATAAGCAATTATCAGAAGATAATGACTGGGAATTCAGGCATCTCATTGCTGGCTTTGGTTCCTAGGTGGCTATAGTTGTTCTGTGGCACAAATGCAGCTTTAGCTAAAAGAATGTCTGGGTGTAGGAACTGTGCTCTGTGTGTGTGTGTGTGTGTGTGTGTGTGTGTGTGTGTGTGTGTGTGTGTGTGTGCGTGCGCGCGCGTGCGCGCGCGCACGCGCAGGCAAGACCCATTTACCTTCCACATACTCCATGACCATGCATAGGTGACGCCTTGTTTCAAAGGAGCAATACATGCTGACCACAAAGGGGTTTTCTGCGAAAGTGAGGATGTCACGTTCCACGAAGGCCTGCTGGATCTGGTTCCGAAGGATGAGGTTCTGTTTATTGATTTTCTTCATGGCAAACCTCTGCCGGGATTCTTTATGCCGAACAAAGTAAACCGCCCTGAAATGGAGGACAGAAGACAGAAGGTAAGGATGCTCAGCGGATATACAAACATATACAAACCACGTAAGCCCCATGCTTTGGGGGTTCATAACAGCTCAAGCTAAGTTCTCACAGCTGTGCTGGTGACTTAGAAACATCCCATTCCAGGCCAAAGTCCTTTGGCTAAATTGACTTTCTAAAAAACCTTTTTAGTAAAGATCATGCATAAAGCATCACATTTGCCTTTGGTGCCCCAAAAAGGGGGCAGAGAGTCCCAAGAGTGAGCTATTTCCCAAGAGCTAGATGATGCTTTCCGTTCTTCCACAAACAAAACAAAATCTGATATATAAAACAGAACTGGGAAGAATTAACAAAATTGCATACAGGTCACGAGCGACATCCTTCCTAGCGTTAGACATATGTTAGGCACGTTTTCCAGACTGACTAAAGCAATAATTTTCTAAATGATACCCTTGGGATCCGAGAAGAGGACCACAGCTTCTCAGAGTCTCTAGTTTCCAATTGAGAGTAATTACTTCCCATGGAATCTCCAGATAAATGGAGAAGTGTGTGTGAGGATGTATGAGATTGTTCAGCAACAAAGGGTACATTATTTCCTCACTCCGGCCTCCACATGCACATCCTCTATGGACTCTAGCAGCAAGTACATGTCCCAACATAACAGGTGAGGGACAGCCATGGAGCTGTACGTCTGGTCCCCCAACCCCCTGGCCAAACTCAGTCTCTGCTATAGCCTTGCCCAGACACTCTCTAGAAGGACACTGAGGCCCCTAAGGCCCGGGACGACCTGGAGAAAGCAGTCCTTGGGGGCGGGAGTCCTAAAATCCCCAATAGGAAATGAGCAGCAGGGAAAAGGCCAACGATGGCCCCCCACAAGTCACTGCACTTGTTTTCATAGAAAGACAGGTTTGAGCTTCCAAGCAGGCAATGATCAAATAAGCGATCCCTTAAAGAGCCATTCAGCCTGTAACAGGTTGTATATGCTGTTCTAAGACCAACGGCTGCAGTGGGTAGTTGTTCCAGCTTTGCCCTGGAAGTACCACCCCCATTGAGGCTTCCGGTAACTGTCACGCCTACAAGGCGGGGCCGAGACAGGAGCCCTTAAGACCCGAGATCCGGATGTGCCTGCTCTCTTGGTTCCTGGACCCTGGAGGTAGACTAAACAGAGTTCTCCAGAGAACACTGCTGGACTGTACTACACCCTTCCCGGACCTTGTAACCTATCCCTTCACTTGTAAGTTACCCCACGAAATAAACCTCCCTTTTACCTACGTGGAGTTGCCTTAATACTTCAACCAATAAAAGGCATTGATCAAATAAGTAATAATTTATCTAAAAAGTCTTGGTAAATATATATAATTGATAGGCCTTCTAAAGCAAGGAGTTATGTGAACTTAGATGTGTTTCCCACTAGCCAGCTCAGTACAGTATCTCTGAACAATGAAAGGCTGGCTGCAAGGAAGACTGAGACAATTCATTCCCTTCTGAACTACTAGCTCAGGGCACTGACCTAAGTCTCAGGATATTCAAACCTGATTTAATCCATATCAATGTTTGCACTAAAGTATTCAACTAGGGATTGCCTCTTCTTTCCAACCCGTTTTTATATTTCCATCATGTCTCTGCCTTTTCTTTGTTCACAATGTCACACATTTGTACTTCTCTCTCTGTCTTTGGCTTTTGCACCCTGTCTTCATTTATTTGGTTTTCTAGTTTTCCGTTCACTATATTACAAAGGAAGGTCTCTTTATGTCTCCCCTCAAAATAACTTGCTGAGTGGCCTAGCACTTTGATTCACACTGTAAAACAATACCACATGAGAGTCAGCCAGTTGGACGTTTTGTACATGCTAAGATATTTTGTACATGCTACGTTAGGGGTCTTCTATGGGAGGCCTCAATGCTGGGCTCCTATAGGCTGCATTGATTCCTTCACCTGTTCTGTTGGTTAGAGTTGATATCAAAATCAATTCAAGCACATGGGAAGAAGCTCCAAGATCAGACCTTCACAGTCATCCTTGGTTAAATAGCAAATTGAAGGCCAGTCTGGGCTACATAGGACTCTGTTTCAAAAGATTAGCTAATGCAGATAGATAGTTAAACCAATTGTTATGATCTGAATGGTCAATGTTCCCCCCAGATTCAAGTGTTTGGACACCTGGCCCCCAGAAGATGGCAGTGTGTGGGGAGGTTATAGAGCCTTTGGAAAGACCTAGCTAGCAGGGAGAAAAGAAGGTGGCTGGGTGTGTGTGTGGGGGGTGGTGTCTGCTTGCTGATTTCAGCAAGATGTAACATGGGTGCTGCAAACTGCCACCCCAATGTGGAAGGAGTTCCAGTTCCCCATATCTCCCCTGCCACGATGGACTGAGCCTCTCAGGAACAGGAACAAATCCTTCCTCCCTTAGGTGGTGCCTTATGTCTTTGATGGTGTAAAGAGAAAAGTAACTAGTAACTAAGTAACTAAGATGAAATGTAACCATGACAACGAGAAGCTCTGTTGCTAATACGTGTTTTGGAAGGTTTCAGTGGATGCAGGTGACTCAATAAAATTTAGTGGCAGTGAACTTTCCAAAGGCCGACAAGACACTCAGAGGCCAACATTCAGACTGCTCCAAATTTCAGCTTCACCTTTGAACTTGGGAAGCAGAAAGCATGCGTTATTAAGTATGGCTCGTATCAACTGTCTTCAAAGGCCTCAAACCTAAAGACAATATACATATGTAGGTTCAACTTAAATGTTTACCATACACGTTTTTCGAAATATTTTCTACTATTAAATTCATTAACCAGCTAGTAGATAGTTTTATATCTGGTGATAAGCTTTTATTGTATTTGCCTTTTTAAAATGACTGGCTGGGATAAAATAAAAAGTCTGCAGATATTGGCAGCTGTGTCTAATCATGATATTGACAGGATATGGAGATAGTCACAAAGGATACAGCTACAGTACAATACTTGGCCACCTCCCAAATATGATACACATTGGTAAACAACCCAAATTATTAAAATGCATTTCTGAAATGAGGGAATCTATTTTTAAATAAAATCAAGAACTCAAAATATTAACATGAAAATGATACCTTTTTATAATTGCTTGCCTCGTCTCAAAAGTCAACTGGATGGTAACTCACCTCCCAGCTTTTCCTTCAGTATTTCACAGTAAGTTCAGTACTGAGGCCCCTCAGACCTGTATTCTGAATTTCACACTGAAACGATCACACTTTGCTTTTCAACCAAGTGCTGATCAAGCTGCTGAAGGACTAGATTTCTTCATTAGCATTTGCTGGTGCTGAAAGCTTTGTGGGTGAGGGCTTGTTGGACATTTCTGCAGTGTTGGGCACTGAACATGGGGCCTTGAACATTTTAGGCAAGAGATCTACCACTGGGCGACATCCTCAGTCTCCAGTTTATGTTCTTCCATTTCTATTTGGCTTTTGGCGTATTACTCTTCATGCTAAAACATATTTGTTAATAACTGTTATCTGCCACATACATCTTTCATCTTTTGCTCTACGACAATGTTATAGATCTCCTTACATCAGCAGAGAGCAAGGCATTGAGAAAGTGACCAGCTGATGGACAATGAACACCGCTGAAAACACTATGAATGTCTTAATGACCCAGCACTGCACTGTCCTCTAAGGCTCCCAATGTCTGTTTCCTGGCCCCCAGCATTGCTTTGCTGGAGAAGGCTATTCTGCCTCTTCCTGCACAGGGAAGCCCAAGAATGGGACATGACGTGGTGGAAAGGCAGCTGGAGACCCTTGCCCTCCAGGAGCCGGTGTCTCTTTGCCTATGCAGGACAAGTAAAGGAAGGCACGTGGAAGGGCTTCTGAAGCCCAGTGAACCCCTGCCCCATTAGAAGTGTGGTTCTAGTGCATATGCAGTTATGAGACTGTGAAAGCCCAGTGCACAGATGTGAGCCAGCAGATCCACAGGTGGGAGTGGGGGAGGGTCAATGCACTACAGAAAGGAAAGATGATCACAGCATGTGTGAATGGGTGTGTGTCAGCTTGCCCTCACCGGTCTTACTATTAAATGTCTCTGAGCCCTTGAGGGGTGAGAGAATAGTGTGTATCAAGGTCAAAGAGAAAAGTAAAATAGGGGGAGAAATGTTGTAACTTTCAAGCATTTTTTTTTTTTTTTTTTTTTTTTTTTTTTTTTTTTTTTTTTGGTTTTTACGAGACAGGGTTTCTCTGTGTAGCTTTGCGCCTTTCCTGGAGCTCACTTGGTAGCCCAGGCTGGCCTCGAACTCACAAAGATCCGCCTGCCTCTGCCTCCCAAGTGCTGGGATTAAAGGCGTGCGCCACCACGCCCGGCTCTTTCAAGCTTTTTAACTGAGTCAATGTTATTCTTTTTTTTTTTTTTTTTTGGTTTTTCAAGACTGTTTCTTAGTGTAGTTTTGGTGCCTGTCCTGGATCTTGCTCTGTAGACCAGGCTGGCCTAGAACTCATGGAGATCTGTCTGGCTCTGTCTCCCGAGTGCTGGGATTAAAGGCGTGCATTACCACCGCCTAGCCAACATTATTCTTTTAGCTGTGTGTAGTGTTACATACCTGTAATAAGAAGATCAGGAGGGGTTCAAAGCAAATTTGGTTTACATAGCAAATTTGAGGCCAGCCTGGACTACGGGAGACCCCATATTGACCCACATAATCCAAAGAGGGAAAAAAAATCTCTTTACAAACATTTGAGCACTCGGGAGGCAGAGGCAGGTGGATATCTGTGAGTTCGAGGCCAGCCTGGTCTACCAAGTGAGTTCCAGGAAAGGCGCAAAACTGCACAGAGAAACCCTGTCTCGAAAAACCAAAAAACCAAAAAACAAAAAAACATTTGAGGTTACGGCTTAAAAATCCAACCAATATTCAATAGAAGAAGTTACATTTTTGTCCTCTACTGGGATAACAGAAAGTTTTAATCAAAGGATGCTTGGAAGGAGAGGAGAACTCTGCCTGGAACCAGAGGCCCTGTGTATCTGAGATCCTCTTTCACGGACACGTGGAAACGGTTATCAGCTACCACACCAGGCTCGTAAGCGGAGAACACAAAGAGGCCAGGACAATGGTGGCTTTTCCAGCCTCATTCTAAGAGTACCGTGAGAAGTTCCACTTCTAGCCAGAGACCAGACTGGCATTATCACACGTATGGTCAGCAAGCACAACAGGACGCAGTGCTGTGTCTTACCACGCTTTTCTAAGGAGAGGGTAAGCTCCTAGCACCAGCAGCCATTTGCGGAGACACAGAATCTGTGTTTCTCTGAGCCACTGGTGTAAGTAGTGATACCCTGTCACACCGACACTCAAGACAGCGGGAAGAGCCCAGATCCTCTACTCATCTAAGGGTCTATTTGTTCAGCTAGCCTGAAGACAGCATCATGGCTGGTTGAACTGACAGGGGTAGCTCCATTCCAATTGTAAATTAAAAATAATTCAGATAGAAAGGAAATCTGTCAGAAATGTAATGAGATATTACATCTGAAAGGGAAGAGGGGGAACTGGTTCTGGCTGATCAGCAGAGGCTCCGGCAGGCAGCTTGTGAGCCCATTAATGACTTGGCCTGCATCCTGAGTGTTTACTAATTCACAGCTTGTTTAACTTCTTGTATATTCCCGACCATTCCCCAAAGTGTGATATACCTCATCTACTAGACACTGGTTTAATTGCACTACAAATGAGTTTACTCAACCAATTAGAACTCCAAATACTGCTAAGATACATGCCCAAGATTTACAAAAGTCTTGATTCCTAAAACATCTTACTCCAGAATTCATTCCACTGCTGAAAAAGAGCTGAACAGTGCTCCAACCCTGTGCCTGTGAGATTAACCTGCTGGCTTCTTCCTATTAAGAATGCCTGGGGGTCATCTCAAGAAGAAGAATAAAACCCACAAAACAAGTGGTAATAAACAAAAGGCACGAATAATTGCATGCTAGAGAACTTTCAATGAGGAAAGCAAATATTGCTAAAAGATAACATGTAAAAGCATTTATGGGCCACATCAGGAAACATGTCATTTGACAAAATCCTGAAAGCCAGTGAGGCATAGAGAGGGCTCGCAAACATTTAAGTTCTTTGCTAAGTTAATGGAGTGGAAAATATTAGAAATGAAAAACCAGTAAGGAGAAACATCCCTTGTGGCACATCAAAAATCACCGTCTCATCTGCTCCTATGTGGATAAATGGCAATAAATGTCTCGGGGATTATTTATTACTCTCTGTATACAGATGGAATTGGGATTAATAATTAAGACAGAATTCGTGGGCAATCTAAAATGGATTAGGTCATAGTTTGCATGTTAATTGTCCTTCCACACTACTTATTGGTAACCTAGAACTTTCAATTTGCAATTTGCAATTGTCACTATTTACTCTACACCCTGGGAAGGAAACTATGTCTACAGCAGTGGTCCTCAACCTCCCTAAGTCTGCCATCCTTTAATAAAGTTCTTCATGTTGTGTTGACCCCAACCATAAAAATATTTCGTTGCTACTTTATAACTGCAGTTTTGCTACTGTTATGAATCATAATGTAAATATCTGATAGGCAGGACATCTGATCTTCAACCCCTGCAAAAGGGTCATTCGATCCCCAGTGAGCCACGACTCATGGGTTGAGAACTCCTGGTCTATAGAAATGGATCAAGGAATTCAACAAGAGGATTTCAACGGTTCCCAGCCAGCACAAAGAAACAAGCAATGTTTAAAGAAACGAAAACACTAACTCTGATGTCACCATTACTCAGATATTGAAACACTACTGTGAAACAGGGTACTGAAGTGTACCGTGTGTGTGCAGTGCATGTCAACAGATAAAACACCAAAAAAAAATTTTAAATTAAATTAAATTTGAAAAACCTGTAGTGACACAGGACTCTAATTCTGGCATTCAGAAGGTAGAAGCAGAAGAATCAGGAATTCAAGGTCATTCTCGGCTACACAGTAAGTTCAAGGTCAGCCTGGGCTCCATGAGACCTTGTCTCAAAATTTTTGAGAAAAGAAAACCCATTTTATCCATTACGAAAACAGACACTAAGAAATGGAAAAGACAGAAAAATGATGGAATTTAGTGCCCACTAGAGACTGAAAACACGTTCTTTGAAGACGTTGGTATGAATCTAGAACATAACTCTCTTCCTCCAGGAATAAAATGGATCAAGGAAGGAACGCTAGCAAGATTAGTTAGATTATAGTGTTTCATTCAATTTAATAAGCATGCTAGTGTATGAAGTCAAGTGTGTGGTGTGTTTCACACAATATGTAACTTATATGATCTCAACCAAGAGCCAAATGCCTTCCAACCCCAAGCACAGATTTAGTCATAGAAACAGGAACATAGAAAAACATTTTTCTTCTACTTCATAAAATCTTCCCGATCTTCTAAAATAAGCTCAGGGTCACCAGCTGTGTCTTTGGTTGGGTCTTTAGAAGTAACTCTGGCTTCATATTACACCCAAGGGGGAAGACGCATCCTTCTAAAATGCCAGTCCCTGAACAGCATCTACTTGGCATAAGGTAAGAGTGAAAACCAAATGCCGTACTCAAGTGGTTACAATAGTTTAGAGAGCACTGCTTTGATAACTCACCCATAGGCTCCATTGCTGATCAATTTAATTGTTTCAAAATCACTCTCTCGAGGTTTCCTTCGAAGTCTCAGGGAAGTATTTGAGCTCTGGGGAACAGAATGTGAATGGTTAAAACACAGTGCCAATTTGGAGACAATGATCATAATGCACTGTTCAACCTGCAGAGGCATGGTGTGAGGATCTGGGACCAGCCCCAAGGATCTGGTAGCCCCAACAGCCCTGAGATGCTGCTCCTAGCCGGTTCCTATCAGCTGCATTTAAGCAAGCCTGTGTTGCCAGGAGAATAAGTGTGAAGGTTTTGGAAACTTAAGCTTCATCTGACATTTTAATACTTGAAGTCTAAAATGCCAACCTGTCCCTCTGCTTTCAGTCAGGAAAGAATTAGGCCAGCACAACTGACACTGGTATTGGGGGAGAATATGGACTCTCCACTCCTGACCAGGGCGTATCTTTTTCATCCTGAGGCCACTGTACAGATGTAGGTGACAAATTTCTTAGAAGTGGGATGCCTCTATACCAGAAATCTTACTATGTCCTAAACGTCGCAATTCTAAATGACAGCTCTCTAAGAAGTTGAGCTCAACGAACAGGAATAACCTTAATGCTGTGAGTAACAGTCTCTTGTGCCCATTCATCTCAGCAGCTGCTCTGCTCCCTCCACGGAGTCCAGAACTCCCTCTCCATCATGTTGGAAGACCCCATGATGCTGAGGTATGCACAGGTCTCTCCTGTCAGGACAGCCATCTCTATGCCCACTTTTTGGCTCATCTTTCAAAGGCTTGCAAACCAGCTCTTTCCCTTCTTCTCTACTTTGGGTCTTCCCTCATCCTACCATCTCTACTGGGAAACACAACCAGTCCCTGGCCTTAGAGCTGCTTGACCTTCTCGGTTCACACAGCCACCTATCTCTTCCACTTCCCCTTGGCCTCTGGTTGTCGGACCTGAATCTTATCATGACTTCATTACTTCCATGGCATCATCTCAGGGACTACTTGATTGCTCTGCACAGGCCCTTGTCTCATGGACTCTTCTTCCACATCCCTGATGATGAAATCACTCCGACTTCCACTGGAAACTCTCCCTTCAAGAGCCTGAGCATTGCAGATTACCATCACTAGTTTACTGGTTCTTGGATATTTCAAAGGAACTGCAGTTTCAACACATCTCAACTACAACAGTTGTGATAATGAGATAAGCACATTGACTGTCAATTAGCACTTAACTATGGGACACTTCCCTAACCACTGTACATGAAACATTTTATTTAGCTTTTATCCAGATGGAGAAACTGAGGCTCAGAGAACCCCTTTCCTGACTAGTATGCACACTGTGTAAAAGGTAGGGTTAGTTTTCAAATCCAGGCAATCTGGATCTAGAGTCTGGGCTCTCAAACCGCAGACTATAGAACATGCTCCTGCTTTCCTAACCACGTGGCTTCATCCTGGCTTCTCTAATGGTTCTCACCTCTTAGGAGAATGTCCCCAGTCAGCAGGATGTTTCACCAGTACCACTGAAGCTGCCTCTTAACGGACATCCCTGTGGCCAGCCAGCCTGCTCCCTGTATCCTCGCTGCTGTCAAGCCATGACTCTGACGAGGCCATCTTCCTGTTTGCTCCCTCCTCTCTCACACTCACACTCTCCTCCATTGCTCTGGAATTTCCACCCCGCCCCCCAAAAAGAAGGCAACCTGATAAATGTGAGCGGGATCCTACTGTCTAGTTTCCTTCAAGCTCTCCAGCTCTGGAGGCTTCTATGCTTTCAGCCTTCAGGTACACCTTGCATCTGGAGTGTTCCTCTGTCCCTTCACGTCCTGCTCATTTGTCCCACTTCAACTCAATGGCCACACCCTTGGAAAGTCTTCCGGGACTGGCCAGCTCAGAAAAATCTATTTCTGGAGTGATTTACCAGCTCATGGTCATCTTTTCTTCGTCGATATTCTTCATGCTCAGAGTTGCTATTCTGGTGTGTGTGATATGGTTTTGTACATTTCTGCTTCTCTTAGGAAGGAGGCACTGAAATTGTATGCCTCGTGCCTTGCCCACAGAAAGACAATAAACATTTATGGAATAAAGTAATTAACACAATCAAAAACTCTCCAGATGCTAAGGAACAGAAGAACCGGCATCGTATTTTACCAGGCAGAAGAATACTCACACTCAGTGACTCATCCGTCTCGGGCGTCTCTGCAGAGCCGCTGTCGTAATTCCCCAACTGAGCCATTTCTGAGTTTAAAAAAAAGAAAAAAGGAAAAAGAAAAAATATTCTATAAGAAGACAAAGCCAAAACACAAGAGAGATAAGTTCTCATTATTTAAAAAGAGAAAGAAGATTACAGTTTATATACCAATAGGCACATAGTATAGCCCCAAAGTCAAGAAGGGCAGCTGACATTGTGCACGTGTCCTCTTGACACTTTCTCTGGACCTCCAGTTTCATGAGGAGCCAGACCTGGGAACGTGGGAAGCTGGGCCACTGGTTTGTGCTTGCCGTCTAGCTTGCAAAACCTTGGGTGAGCTAACAGCTCTGTCTATAATACAAGAGAGGCAAGCCTTCCCAGGGCTGGACACACAGCAGAGACGCATTGGCTGCGGTTTGGAAGTGATTCTCGGTTGCAGGGACACGAAGAGTGTGCAGTTCTCCAGAGGCAGTTCTGGTGGCGGGGACCAGGGGATGGGGACAAAAATACTTGGGCCGTCACTTCCTAGCTGAGCGACTTTGTAACTCCAGGTTCTTTTGAGAGATGTGACTAATACTAGGTCTTAGAGCTTTTGTGAGTACTAACGTGTGCCAAAATGCGTGTACAGCTCTTAGCATATTCACTGATAAGAATTAAGTGCGCATTCAGTGCTGGTTGTTATTTATTAATTACATTGTTCAGAGCTGTCAATTCTTGGCTGGATGCCACAAGCCTGACACCAGTGTAAGTCCTTCCCTGGTGGTCTAGTTAAAAGTGACAAAGGCATCTCATGTCTAATTGAGGCTCAGCCCATGGCTTGGAGAACATCCTTGAGTTTATATAAGTAAATGAGAAAGCCTAATTCATTTAATGCTCATCTTTATACTATCTTTACGACATGTTTTATTAATAGGAAATTTTAAAAGAATTTTCTCCAAAAGCATTTCTAGTTTTTCAAAATTGAATGTGTTGCCAAAAAGTTATCGTCCTTAGCCATTTTGTAAGCATTTAAAATTGCTCCCTGGGTCTTTATTTCATGTTTGTGTTCTTACAAGCACAACTGTTTTTTTTTTGGGGGGGGGGGCAGTGATTATTCACATGAGAGAGGAAGCAGAACCACACGGGAGGGCTGTCTTTAGGTGAAAATGTACCAACTCCAGATTCTGAAATGGCACTAACTTCCCCACTTTAGACACAGGGGACATTGCTGAGAAAAACTGAGCTGAGAACAAACGCTTTCTCGTATAGTGTCATAGAAATGAGTCGGACCTCAGTGTGACAGCACCTTAGATACAGAGGCCTGGACAAATGGGGGGTGCTTGGTTGGAGGGGCTTTCAAGGAATGAGACAAGACCTGATACTGTGTGGCAAAAACAGCTGTAGGGATTTCTATCTGATACTCGGGACTGTGCTGTCCCATCACACAGACTGCGCCTATGAATGGGAACTCCTCCCCGGATATTACTTATCTAATTTTATGGAGACACAAAGTGGCTTCTGTATTTGCACAGAGAAGGTCATAGCCCAGCCTAGATCCCACTCCTGCGTACCAAAGGACAGTCTTCCGTTTGTCTGTTTTGAGGTTATCAAGAAAGGGAAGCAGCAGTATCTCTGGGTTTGTAATCAAATTACCCGGAGATGTCACATTTTAAGTATTAAAATATATATATATATATATTGGAAAGGCATTCTCAGAATGAATCAAGAAAATTATCAAGAGCAAAGAAAAATTCCTAATGATAATTTTACACAACTCACATGTGTCAAAGATCACTACTATTTAAAAAAAAATCTATTCACATACATAAGAGGACATCGCATTATTCATGTGCCAAAGTTCTGCCTACAGTGACATTGACTGCCAGAGAAGAGAGCCGTACAGGGCTCACTGGTTGACAAGTCATGGGCTGATGCACCTTAACTATATCGGCGTGAAGAGTCACTCTAACATGCTCTGACAGCCTCCCCTCTCCAATTATTTTCATAAAAAAAAAAAAAATTAAAAGATGGTTCTGTTTTAAATAGAATTTCAGCTAAATAACTATTATCTGGGAAATCCATATTATTTCTAAGCAGTGGGTAGTAATGGGCTGGAGCCAAGAGTCAGCTTTTGAGGCGGGAAGCTAAGCCATCATTTTGTAATGCCTGAAGAGATTTTTTAAAACTCATCTAAATACCATTAAACATCTGCCCTTTTTATTTCATTGATTTAAACCATTTCTGAAGACTCATGATTCAAAAAGGTAAAGATGGTAATTGAAAAGCCATGGGAGAAAAATCTCTCCCCAGAGAACTTTTCAGAAAGGCAGCCACCAGTCTCCGTAAGTGATGAATCTGCTGTGGTATTGTTTTCAGTACAGTGTGAATTTATCTGGCATTATCGCCCAGGAATGCATGCATCATTTCACTAGAGGCAAAGATACAATGTCCACAAGAGCAGACAGAGCAGAGGATGCCCTAGCTTAGGGCAGAAAAAAAAATCTCTGCACCAACATTCACCTCTATCACAGACAGTTGATCAGGTTAAACACTGTCTGCAGATTCAATTTCATAAATCAAGAAGACGCTTTGGAATGAGGGTGTCAATGATTGTGAGTCCTTTGGGCTGGTATGCAGACTAAGTGTTGTATGTAACAAAAATCAAGTGTTAGATATAACAATAATATATCAGTGAGCCAGAAAAGGATGGGAGGGGATACCAATATTAGATATTTTGAAAAATTACTACAGAATGTTTCTTATTTCCTATATTTAATAGAATTATATCTTTCTTCATGTGAACCAACCATGCATCCTCTAATGAGCTTTAAAAGAAGCACCCCTTTTGACCCCTGGCTCTCTCGTATGTATTACTATTTTTCATGCTTACTTGAAACAAGTAAGCTAAAAATGTACCTACCGTGGCTGCTCTCAATTTAAAGTCATCCACTGTAGCTGCATTACCCCTAAATTAAATTTAAATGTCAATTTTAAATGAACGATGATTTTTAGCAACACTCTGAAAATTAAAAGTGCTCTCCAGAGGGACCCCACTGAGCTTTGCAAAAGAAGGGCTCAGGGAAGATGGAATCCACGTGCTTCAGCAGACATCACGCACTTTCGTGACTGCAGGCCTCTAGTCCAGCACGGCCCACCCCGTTCTCTAGCTGCCACGCTTTGGGCATGTTCGTTTCATCCTTTGTACTCAACTACTTTCTTTCAGATACTAACTGGTCTCCCCAAAGGGGGCTTTTTCATAGAGATCTCCAACACAGGAAGAGTAAAGGCTCATTATGAAGTTCTAGATGCCATGGTCAGAGAGAGGGCAGGGCAACTGGACCAGCACTCACCTTCCAAAGGGTCCTTATTGAGCCCCAGTTGACTGATGATGTACCTGGGAATGTCAGTTTTGATTCCCTGGCCTTCTTTGGCATGGCCTTCTGCAGCTTCCAGTAGGTAGTAAAATTCTTCAGGATCAAATTCCTGGCAGATGACAAGCACAGAATAACATTTTGAAAAGGTTGGAGGTTTTATTACATACATCTTATTCACAACAAAGCTGACATGGCTGAACGTTATATATGAAGAGAGGAGGCAGAGGCCTTTACACAGTGCGAAATTCTCACTGCGTATCTGCAGCCTAGTCCTAGTCCAGGGCGATGCATCTATACAACTGGTAACCTGAAGGAAATGAGTACTTCCAGTTTTCCAGTTTCTTTGTGATGTAACCTCGAAGGTAATGTATCCTCCCGAAGATCAGGAGCCCACTGACAGACAAAGGCTGTATTGGTGCTCTCTTTTGAGCTGAGGTCTCAGTGTGTTGCCTAGGCTAGCCTCAGATTCCTCAACTTCAGAGGTCCAACCTTCCACCTGTCTCCTGAGTAACTGAGACCACTGAGGTGTGTGCCCCCATGCCCAGGTTGGTGTACTTTCTCCCCAAAGTCTCCCCTGCCGTGTCTCACCAGCCACTCGGATGTATTTATGGAGCTGTGAATATTTCCATTTCATAAAACATTATGAATGCTAATTAAAGTGAGGATGCAACCAAAGCACCTGCGACTGTACACGTCTCGTGAGTTGATGCCGAAAGCTGTTACACATGGGGGGACATTAGTAGTCAGCGGAAGTTAAAAGTGAATTTTCATACTCTATTAATAGGCCCTGAAAGAATTCTTCCTCTCAAAGCACCAACTTTATTTACAATTTTGACTGAAATCTCAAAGTATCAGAAAACCGGGGGAAAAGAAAATGATCATTGACCAAAAAGATAGAAACACTAAAACAGCTCTCCCTCCAGATCTGGATGACACCTTGCTATATAGTCTTTCCCATGGGTTGTCAACTAGCATGGATTTCTAACACAGCCCATTTTAAAAACAGTAACTGCAGCCACAGGTCACCATATCCCTGACTGCCCTCTGTCTGCAACTTAGCAACTCCAGAAACATGAGGTACAGTAAGCATTTTAAATGAGCTGTGGCGTAAGGTTATCATGCTGGAATAAGGTCAAGCATATTATTGCATGATCATCCTTCAGCTTTGACCAGAATACAATATGACTACTGCTTAATAGCAGCACCAGCGCCAGACTTCCTTCTCAAAATCAGAGAAGACAGGCCACAGATGGACGCCATCATAAGCATTCATATGGTGGAGTCCCTCCTGACTCTTTCTATTTAGCACCTGGGATTGAAGTGAAATGAAACTGGAGCCTTCTGCTGGTCGCTACTTTCCACAGTTAACCATAAATAATATAGTCGCATCTACAGGCAACTTACCAGGCACTCCAGTAGCCGAGCGGGGCGGGCAATAACAATTAAGATCTTTCGGACTAGCTGTTTAATAAATGCCAGTTCTCCACTCTCGGAGCGGTCATGAGCCTATGGAAAAGCAATGAACAGAAAGATGATATAGAGGCTCCACTAAATGGAAAAGAAAATCAGCAAAGCATGCTAATGAGGTGATTTTTTTTTTAAATCAGAAATTAAGTGACTTAGAAAACACTCTTAACAGGCATTATCTCTAACATAAATGGACACTATCAGACATCAACAAAATAGCTCTATTAGCTAAAGTTTAATGGTAAAACTTTGATTTATTATGTTTTAGAAATCTAATGTAGGGATAAGGACTGTTAACATGAGCCATGAATGAAGGAGATATTAACCTTATGATCCACTAAGAACAGGATGCCAGCTGCGGCAGCTGGACAAGAACTTGGACTTGGCCAATGAGACATTGTAGATGTACACGTCTAGGGTAGAGATGGACTACTTTTGTTATCCTGGGTATCTACATGGGCGTCTAACACACTCATGACGTGTGGTTTGTGTACATGGTATGATTAGCCTGAGAGTCATTTCATCACGTGGGACGTGTGTGGTACCACTGCATGCATTAACCAGATAGTGCTCATATTCTGATACACATGCAGATTCAGTGACACTCACAGAATAAATAACACCCAGGCACTTAGCTCAGCAACACTGATTGGCTTAAGAGCGTGTTAAATTTTATTTTACATGTTGCCTAACCACAGTAAATATTCCAACAGCAAGGTTCAGCTTGTTAACAGTCACTGACATTTTTAATAGTTACTTGAAGAAGTCTGACAATACAATATTAAGACTGGAATAGGATAGAAATTTGAATGGAAACTATTCATGTTCATTTTTTAAGGCTTTCAAAATTTTTAAGGTTTTATGACACACTTTTCTAAGGATTTAGGGAAAAAACCAATGCATTGCTGGTGCCATAGGTTATAATTTCAGAAACATTAAGAAACATTTTTTTTATCATTCTTAGGGGTGTTCATCACAAGCCCCATCTTCAGAAGAGCTTCCAGACAAAACTTATGAAAAATGATTATAACATATCCACTGTATTTAAGCTAATATGCCAACACAAAGCTTGCTTGAAAAGAAAAATGAGGAAATAATTGTTTGAATATGTTCTGCATCTTTAGGGAAAAAAATAGCCCACCTCTTACACACAAGCTAACTTTAAATTTTCTTTCTAACATTTGTTTTGCAAGAAAAATAAATTTTGGAAAATACCATTAATGCTAAGAAATATGACTTATATTCTTTTTGTAGTTCATCATTAGCTTAAACACAAATCTCTGAAGAGAAATTGAAAAAACAAACAAAAAGGCTAACTTCTTGGCCACACTTTGAGCTGGATGTTCCTATCATAATTGCTGTTTTATGAATTCACAAATATAATGAAAATCTAAAATATGGAGGTACACTTTGTTGTCTCTCCCCGCAAAGGGGAAATGGTCAATTCAAATGGCAAAAATTTCATTTCAAAGACCATAAACATGATGACATGTCCCAACTTCTAACAATTATCAGCTATGTCTTCCTCCAAGGCACACGAGTTCTATTAGCTCAAATGACATTTTATTTACAAACTGGGGCACGAAGACCGGCCTCGCTAAAGCAACAACCAGTGTATCAGCATAGCATGAGAAGGACATGGCTTCCTGCTCTCTTGCGGCACGTTCCAAAGTCACTAGTGGAGTCCCCGAGTCTGTATTGTAAGTGTTGGCCACCATTGAAAAAGACTGTGACCCAGATTTGAGAGTTAGGGGTTCCTTTGTGTTTTGTCTTCTTTGGCTAAATACACCTCAGTGAAAGAGAGACTGCGGACATAAAAGCATTCATCTGAAATTGACCTCGACCCCGGGACTTTAAAAGGCATCTGTTAAATCAAGCTGTTCAAACCCTAGGAGGATCTGCGCCTGGGGTTACTCAAAAGATTGACAATGGAAATGTGGTGAGGAGACAGGCGTGCTGGCCCCAGAGCATCACATCTGGGAATGGACAATGGCTCGCCAAGAGAATCCGCAGCATGTTCCCACGGCTCTGCTCTCCCTAGAATGGACATGCTCCTCTCAGACAGGTTTGCTCCAGGCTCTGGGCAGATACTGGCAGTGTGCCTCTCAAGGGAGACTGGATCGTTGCAAATGATTGAAGGAAAGTGGGTCTGTGAGGAAGCATAAGAAAACATGCTTTCTCCTTCCCAACAACGACCTTTAGGCCACGGGTATGCGTGCTTCCCCGGCTCAGAGAGAAATTTCTCTAAAAATCAACCTTTCTCATCTGTCATACCGCCCACTCAGAAGATCCTCGAAATGCTAAGGTTTATTTTTAATTGCCAGGAAGCAATCTGCCATGTCTGCCATACATCAACAAAGACAAAGGGGAGATTTTCATATAAGTAACTCTGGGTACCAAATCTGCCTCCTTCAGGAGTGCCTAGAAGTGAAAAACCACAGGCCTGAGGTGGTCCTGATGATGCTAGCCTGGGTGACCCTACAATGGACTGAACCTCTGACATTGTAAGCTACCACCTCAATGAAATGCTTTACTTTATAAGAGTTGCCATAGTCATGGTGTCTCTTCCCAGCAGCACACACACCCTAACCAGGACAGAGGCAAAGTCCTCAGGATTCACAGCTCCAGTTAAGAAGGTGCTAAGTCTACCGGAGGTATGTTGGGGTTACCCAGCATTGCTCCGAAGGCTACCCAAGTACAAAACTATCCGAGAGGCAGACAGACACAGGAATCTCAAGTTTGACCACAAGCTGCTGGTCTGAGATATGCACTGAAAGCCACTGAAGCCCAAAGGACTGCCCTTCGAGACAGACAACAAGATCACCAGCAGTGGGAAGAGAAGCAGGGGAACACTATGAGATTGGAGAAAACTCACTCACAGAAAAACGCGAACAGGAAAGGAAATCCTTGTAAGAAACAGGGAAGAAATGGACGGAGAGGGACAAAGATCAAAGTCACACAGGTAAGGGATAGACACAGAGGAATGCAGGCCATGCAGTAAAATGAGCCTGTTCCAGGAAACTGAAAACGGACTCCATCGGCAGGACATCGGGGAGTATCTCGGGAGGTGTTCAGAAGCCACTCACGGGACAAAATATTTGGGAACCTCTAGATGTTGTATACCATTGTAGGTATGAAAAAAAAATGCATGGCCTTGCAGAGTCCTTGTGTTCCAGATGAAGTACAGTCCATGAACAAGGGCCGGTCCACGCACTGCATATCAGTGCCTCGCTCGGTGCATGGCAGGCTCAGTACAAGGAAGCCTCAGCAAGTTCTCCCAGCATGGCCATTGCCATGCACGTTCCTTTTCACTCTAATTGGTAGCAGAACTGGTGGTCTATGTGAAATGGTAAATTAGTAACCACCAAACCCAGAAGCTCTCCACCAATCCCACAAGCTGTCCGTTCACCCTCCCTACCAATCTAAGGAGCACCGCTTTACTAGTGATGTGTGAGAAATGGGAACCACGGAGAAAGTGCTGTCGGGAGGCTTGGATGAAAAAGGGAAGGGAGAGGGCAGCTGCCAGCCAGAGAGGCACCTTCTTATCCTGCCAGAACTCCGTCATGTAGGGGAAAGGACAGATGGATTTCTCCAAAGTAGGATGTTAGTATTTTCCTCCAGTTTAGGCAGATTACTTATATATTCATTCAGAGGGGAAAAAACCCCCACCGTGATTATATTTACATGGATATAATTTATGCCCTATGAGACACATAAATATTATAAATCCACATATAGGTTAAATAGGTTTCCCGTGTAGACTGCCAATCAATTTCAGTCAGAAGAGCTGTATCATACACTAATTCTATTCTACCATACACATTCCCTTCCCGTCCCAGGTGTTATCAGGAGCCAGGCATGAGAGTTTTAGACAGATGGGATCCTGTGTTTATCTGTCATTTTGGAAATTGGATATTTTGTTAGAAGAAGAACTGATACTCAGGAAAATAGAAGTTGCCATTTACTATCCAATACCACAAGCAGGTTAATTAATAGGACACACAGCCTAGTAAAAGCCAGCAATTTTCCATTTAGCTTTTCTAGATACTAAAATTAGATAGCTCCATCAAGTAACATACATACTCTCAGGCAATTTATAATTTTATAGGTAAATTTGGGGTGGGGGGGGGAGTCACTGCTTAAAAATCCTTCACAATCCACTTATCCTAGAGTCATAGATAGTTGGGTCCCAAGGTCCCTGTAAAGGTGATTACATTAACTTTCTATTACTACACATAATGGCCAGAACCAACTCATAACAAGTAGCAATCAGTTTAGGTTTGCTTGCACAATTGCTGTGTGTGCCCGTGTGTGTGTGTGTGTGTGTGTGTGTGCTCGTGTGTATGTGTGTGTGTGTGTGTGTGTGTGTGTGTGTGTCCCCCTCCCCCTTTCCACCCTGCACACTTTCCTGGAATGGGAACTCCTTCATTTAGCTAATTACTTAGAAGCAAATGGTTTCACGAGAAAATATTTTGCCAAGAGAAAGGCAAACCGAATGAGAAGGAAAACCACATGCACGGCACCTTGTTCTTACCTCCTGTAGCAACTTGTCTAACTTGTGTTGTAACTCAAGAAAGTATCTCGATGTGATGAGACCCTGGCGGGATTTATCTAGACAGTCGCGAGCCAGCTCGATGATCTGATGGTGAGTGAAGCTAAGCACTCCATCCGCCAAGGGGAGCACGTTGTCGGGGGAGTAGCTGGTGATGATTTCCCTTAGACGTTCTTCCATCTGAGCCGTAGCCTGTTGGGAGGAGACACACACACACAGAGGTGTAACACAAGGCGACACGCGTGGACCATGCCGAGAGCACTCTTTCATGTCCCAGACCTCTATGAGTCCTTAAATAGAATCCAGAGAACTACATTTGATAGAAGCCTCATTTGGGGGCTGAGGTATAGCTCGCTGGTACAGCTCTTGGCTAGCATGAATGAGGCCCTGTACTCAATTTCTAACCACAACACACACACACACACACACACACACACACACACACACACACACACACGAACAAAGAACCTTCATTTCGGCATGATATGATCATGGTGCACACATGTCATTATGTGTTAGTTTGAGCTCACTGACTGAACAACACCAAGCATGAGTGTAAATGTTGGCTGTTGGTATTCATGCTGCCTCTCTGAACCTCGTCAACCACTGACAAATGCAGCACTCTGGCGAGGACAATGACACTACAGGAAAGTGTGCACACCGGGGGCGGGAGTGATAAAGAAAACTCCTGTGCCTTCCACTAGGACACGCTAACCCTGCTCTAGAAAACAAAGAGAAGGGGAGATGGAGAAGTGAGAGATACCATCCACTGTGTAGAATGCAGATTATAAACATGTGAGGTATCAAATGAAAAGGTGTCTTTCTGGCCCTTTTCTGATGTCTCATTGAACGTAAGCCATCCATGTAAACTTGAAATAACTCTAAGGGTGTCTGTGGAGGGCTAGGCTCATAGACTCCTTCAGATGGGTTATCAAAAACATGAAGTATTTCTTTAGTTGTTATTCAAAACTCAGGATTATGCCAGAGTGCCTCAGTATGAGCCAAAAGTTTGTTTTCTTGGCAAGGTTTCAGTGTGCCAGAAGTATACACATAGCAACTTTCTCCCTAACTGTAAACACTGTACCCTTAGCGCATGGCCAAGGGGATACCCCTTACAAAACAGATCTACAATTTCCTTGCCAACCGTCATTTTCTTCCCTGTGATTGCCTACTGGCTAATCAATATTCCTGGTTTATAAGAGCTACATAGGCGGGGAGATTCCCTCTTCCCCCTGCTCCCCTCTCAACATTGAACCTCATTAACCAGGCAGAGTCAATATCTGCTTTCCTGGTGGGCAAGCGGCATGTGATGAATAGGCAAAAGAGTGCTAATCGATGCCATCAATGTTAGGTTCATTACAAATAATAAGTACTCTGCTCCTTGTTTATGAACCCTCAGATCTCCCTTTGTTCTCATGCTTCCAGCAACGAAAGCAGAGGTGATGGTCGGAAGGCTGTGGCGAGGTGGCCTCTGCCCCGTTACACAGAACCATGTGGGTGAGAAGGCATGGAACTGAGGTGAGTGAAGGGGTCCCTCAGAGAAGTGCTACTGGTAACCAAGGGGCCCGGCAACAAGGCCCCGCACCCTGCACTCTGGCTTAATTCCAGAATTCCTTTTACCAGTTGAGCCATAGAGCACGCCAACGTATCTCTACTTCCATGGTAATAGGTTTAGCATGGGAGATGGGGAAAGAAAAGGAAGTTTAAAAAGGAAAACAGTGTTCAGGACACAGCAAGCCATGGCTTCTGAGAGAAAAATCATTGCGAAGTAGATGAGGAACATGAGTCCGAAGAGTGGAAAGGATGTACGGCCTCTGAAGGCAGAGCCTCTTCCTGCACCGGCCAGGGCCCCTGCTGTAGGTATACACTGGCAACATTCACCACACAGAGTGCTGTGTTCTCAGCAGGTGTTGGAGTCACATTTGTTTATTGTTTTCTCTTTCTCTAAGGAGGCTGTGGTGCTGTTTAATTCCAGTCATTCCTGGGCTGGACCCTCACTTGTGTAACAAAAACCACCTTACAGAGGCTAAGCCTATGTGGCCCCATCACTGAGATGCCAGGCATCTTCAATTCCATCCATTTACCTTTGGGAACCTTTCTTTGTAGACATGGTTCATCATAATTATTTCATGGTCACAGCAGGCGGGGGAACGTCCAGGGCTGCAAGCAAAGCAAATTACCCTTTTAAACCTGCCACAGCATGAGATGAACATAAGCCTTTTATTTATAAAAACAGTCAGCTGCATCGGAAAGTACTAGGCAACCCTCATGTGAAGAGTAGCCGTCTCAGATAATAAATTACAAGATCAGTCATTAGCACACACATATACATACATCCCTGAAAACACACAGACCCAATGAATAGGATTCAGATATAGGCTCAGGAGTGCAATGTCACAGAAGAATCACAGTCACGGTACTCTGTCAGAAGATGGCCTTGCAGTGGGGTTGTGTCATACCCATGGCATGGGCTTGTGTAGTTGTGGCAACCAGTCAATGAAGTGCCAAGCAAAGTATCGAACAAAATGGGGTGGCTACTAACGACAACATCCGAGACCCATTTAACAGTGCAATTTCACACGTCTATCATACACCTGCGCTCTGCCACCGACAACCAGAGAGGCGGAGAGGCTTCCATGGCACAGGTGTTGTGGTGAAATCCATTTTCTACTCTAACAAATATTTAGTTGGGATGCTCAGGTAGGCATTACGTGCAAGAAGAAACACAACTGCTGTGTTCTTCTGTAGGTCTGCCGCTTTGTGTCCTTTCTGGCAAGAGGGCTGCACAGTTTGGGGGCACCTATATTCTTGGATAGATATAGATTAGGCTAGATGCCCTGGGCACTGCTTCAAGAAAATTCAAAGTGAAACCCCTGCAATAAACTATGGTGACTCTAGATACAATGGCAAATTTTTTTTTTTTGTTTATTCTAGATCTCAAAATAATTTCACATATCCCGCCATTATCCAGTGTGGGTTACTTTGGTACTAGTTTATGATACTATATGAAGAGGTAAGATACAGAGGGAAACCCCTTCTTAGTAAACCTCCATGCTGAACTAAGTACCTAGCAAGCTAATTTTTTTAAAACAATAAAACTTTGACAGATTAACATGTATCAATTCTGGCCCATCAAGATTTCGTGTTGTTGACAAGGAGACCCAATGCCTGATTCCATCTTCTAAGAAAGACCTGCTGCCCAGGTGCTGGGTGTGCCATCAGCAGAAGGCTAGAGCTGGCTATCTCTCTCCCAGGATAGCCTCAGCTGTAGGAAGGAATGCCCCAGGGTGACAGGGCCTCCCAGGATGCTGCTATAACAAGGCCAATGACTGGAAAGCTGGAGCAAGGGTACAAATGGAGGGCCACTTCCTCAACAGGGATCCCAGCCCAAGGTGGGCTGAAGCTGATGGGTCTGTACCATACTGTGACTTCTCCTTCTGCCCATGCCTGCTTCCCTACTTTCATTCCACCAGTGAAAATTCCCACAGCACTTTCATAAATATTCTGAACAGGCCTCCTGGTTGGAGATACTACCACCTGGAGACATAACTGTGAAACTTACTGTTCAAAGAAAGGCAAGAAACCAGCCCTATTCAATACTCAGAGGACTGCATTTGACAAGCACAAAACTCAGAAACCACCACGTCCTAAGAATGTGTTCATCATCCTGGAGAAAGTAAGACTTAGATGGGAATACAGAATAATAAGACTAAGATGGGTTTTATAATATAGAATCTGGAGAAAATATCTTTCCGTCTATTCTCTCCTCCCTTTTCAACAAACTTCTCCCACTTCAGATGATAATACGCACTGCTCTTTGCACCAACATTAGTTGACCTTAAACTTTCCATGGCTAGACATTTTTTTTTTTATAGATAGTACCTAAGGCTTTTGCAGCAATTAGCAGATTGTGAAAACTTGAAAGAAATATAATGCCTTTCTATGGTAATTAATGTCACCTATCGATGGAATATCACACTTGTATTTGTGACAATTCACAAATCAGTGAACACACATACAAATTGGAGAAATGGTTAAAAACAAACAAGTCCAGTAAATACCAGTTTGGGCCAGGTCTACCCACCTGAGACTTCGGGAGCGGGGCCGCATGGGCGTGTTCCTGCAGCGGTTCTCAGTGGCAATGCTTTCGGTGGTGCAAAAATGTTTGGACAGGAAGTGTAGTTCATCTGGTGTTGGCTGGTATGGTAACTGGTGCAGCTTCTCCTGGGAGGAACAGGATGACTGAAAGAAATGAAAGTCAAGTGAGGAGACTACCTCCAGACAAAATTCTGGAGATGAGTTGGAGCATCGACATTGGGCAATGCTACCATTTTGCCGTGGTTCCATGAGAGCAACTATAACCTAGAGGCACCAAGTGACTTCTCTTTGAGAGTCCAACATGCCTTCTAGATGGCCCCCATCTGCCTACAGCTTTCCAATGACAGTTTCCTTTCTGGGTAAAAAACCAAACCTGTGAGATGGACAAGAGCCAGCAAAAGCCTAGGGAAGAAGACAAACCCTGGAGTGAGACGGCCAAGATGGATTAGTTCTTGCTGAAGAGACTCCTGCTGCTGTTCCCAGCCAACACTCCGATTTGTAAGTCAATAACATGATTATATGCTGTGAGACCATAAATAAGGTAATGAAAGCCCCCTCAACAAATGCATGCTGTTCTTTGACGCAAATGCCCCCCGGGTGTGCTATGAGCACAAGAAAAGGACAGAGAACTGGAGGGAGGGACAGAGAAGTGGACATTATTTGGAGTGACACCACTTTTTTATTTATTTTATTTTTTATTTGGATCTGGAGTATTTCTTTTCTTTACTGATTTTGGGGGTGGGTGGTTATGGGGGTGAAAATATCCCTTCTCTACTGAACAGCCTAGGCAGTCCTGAAGCTTTACCCCTTGCTGTAGATTTACTTCTTAAAAAAACCATCCCTCCACATCTGGAATGGGTTAGAGAAGGCAAGCAGCTAAAAACAAGTGATTTTTTATTTATTTATTTATTTATTTTTGGTTTTTCAAGACAGGGTTTCTCTGTGTAGCTTTGCGCCTTTCCTATAACTCACTCTGTAGCCCAGGCTGGCCTTGAACTCACAGAGATCCACCTGGCTCTGCCTCCCGAGTGCTGGGGTTAAAGGCGTGCGCCACCACCGCCAGGCAACAAGTGATTTTTAAACAACCTGACTTCGGAAACTGTGCAAGGAAGGAACTGTTGGCCTTGGGTCTTAGGGAGTGGTAAACTCCATAAATCAATGCTAATAAAAGAGGTTGAGAATTTTTGGATACAGGGAAAACACAGCTAGAATAAGCACATTTTTTTTTTTGTTTGAAAGATACTAGTCATTTGAAAATGTCAGTTCAAGCCGAGTTTAAAAACAAACACAGAAACAAAAATAAAAAACTGTCTTTACAAGAGAATAGCCTTTGTAAATACTCAAGCAGTATAGTGCAGTGGCCTTAGAAATTAATGACCAGAGCTGGAAATATCCCTATACCTTGAAATTATAAAACGCCTTGCTAAGTACACAGTAAGATAGACAAGGGATTTTTATAATGTAATGAGATTATTTTATAAACCATAAAAATGAGAACACTAGAAAGAATTATGAGATAAACCAAAGCTATATTGGGGTAAACAGGCACTCCTAAAATACTTCCACTATGAAAAAAGGAAATAAAACACATGAACTAAATCAATTCAGAAAATCTGGCAAAGAATCCTAAACATTGAGCAGGAGAGAAGAAGAGGTGGTAATGGCAAAGACAAATTAACAAGTAGAAAAACAGAAGAAATGTATATAGAGAGCTGAGGACACAGCTCAATGGTAGAATACTTACTTCACTTACTCCAGGCCCCAGACCTGATCCCTAGCACAGGAAAAGCACAAACCCAACACAAACACACATACACACACGCACCCCCCTTATCTGTCTCTTCACAGGTAAATCCACGTCCATACTTATTTCTGTCTACAAACTCATTTTATATATAAGTTTACAGTCATCACTTTGGGTGGCAAAGTCTGAGCTGAGAGAGGATTATGCAGACTACTCAGTCCACTTAGTGTGAATGTTGATGTGGGTTGCTATGGAAATACTAATATCCTGGATTATGACTTGCTGCTTCTGTGGCTGATGGGCTACTGTGTATGGGACAGCGATCATACTGTCTTTCTAAAAGTGAAGGTTGATTTTCAAATGCAGCAGGCACAGGGTTTCTCACGCGAGATGAGGGATGGTTACCTGCATGGGACTTATACCAAAAACCTCAGAGAAGGGGCCTTGGAGGAGTTGCGAGGGCACTAGTGGGATCCTCAGGAACAAGGGCCATCCCTGCAGACTCACTTCTGTGCGTGCGTGCGTGCGTGCGTGCGTGCGTGCGTGTGTGTGTGTGTGTGTGTGTGTGTTTTTCAGGCAGTCTTTTTTTTTTTTTTTTAAGATTTATTTTTTTTAACTATGTGTACAGTGTTCTGCCTGCAGGCCAGAAGAGAGCGCCAGATCTCACTACAGATGGTTGTGAGCCACCATGTGGTTGCTGGGAATTGAACTCATGACCTCTGGGAGAACAGAGCCATCTCTCCAGCCCTCAGGCAGTTTTTTGCTGGCTTCCCTGGTTTCGAGTGATCCTCCTGCCTCAGCCTCGGAAGCAGTTAGAACTACTGATGAGCAGCACCACATCTGGCTCCCATGTGCTTACTGCAAAGACACCTCTGTTGAGCAAAGCCTCCTTGGATCAGCATTTTAGAAGAATTTCGAGACAATATGGGAGTTTTCCAATATACTCAGTCTCATTACTTCCTATTCCTCCAAGTGTGGGGGTAGTATGTCTCATTATCTAACTAGCTTGCATATGACTTTTGACCACACCATAAATCAAATCCACTCTCACAGAATGAAGATTTACACTAAAAACTGCTGCTCCTTTTCCAAGCAATTAGACTTCAAAAACATTTTCTACATAATGATATCATTCAAACATCTCATCTCTCAAGATAACCATGTTGCAAAGGATAGTCCTTATATGCATGCATAAATTCCTACGTGCTATTATTAAAAGTAATATGATTTAACAGCCATACCTCATATTTATGGGTATTTAAATTCTTATTTCCTTTCCTTCCCTGATTGGAAAATAATTTATCTGGTGAGAAATATGTGGAGGAATATCTCCCCAATACTGCAATTCCATATTGCTTATTTCAAAATTAAAAATTATGATGTGAATATTACCTTACAGAAGTTCCACAAACTAATTCTCACTGCAAAATTTCACACTAAAAGGACTGGTAATACTAAATATTCTTTGTGAGAACAGACTAACTGTATATGACACAATCTGTCCAATTTTGGAACATAACATTTTTAACACTTGGCAATTTTGAAGTCTCTATAATAGCCAAAAGATATAATAACATTTACATTTCAACATAAGTGGGTCTGGAGCTAACACCACAATTATTTGTGAACTTTTAAATTGTGTTTGAAAAGGCTTCTAGCTTTATCTGTATATAACCATTATTTTTTTTTCTTTTTTAAAAAGTACATTTTAAGCCGGGCGTGGTGGCGCACGCCTTTAATCCCAGCACTCGGGAGGCAGAGCCAGGCGGATCTTTGTGAGTTCGAGGCCAGCCTGGGCTACCAAGTGAGCTCCAGGAAAGGCGCAAAGCTACGCAGAGAAACCCTGTCTCGAAAAAACCAAAAAAAAAAAAAAAAAAAAAAAAAAAGTACATTTTAGAGCCAGGCAGTGGTGGCACATGCCTTTAATCCCCACACTCGGGAGGCAGGTGGATCTCTGTGAGTTCGAGGCCTGCCTGGGCTATAGAGTGAGTTCCAGGAAAGGTGCAAAACTACACAGAGAAACCCTGTCTCGAAAAACCAGGAAAAAAGAAAGGACATTTTTGATTGGCTAAATGACTAATAATAGTTAATGAGAATTTTACAAGTGATTCAGATTAGGAGTAGGAAAGCAGAAAAACTTGGGTTGCCGGGTGACACAACTGTGCCTGATATTTGAAGGACAAGGACAGAAACCTAAACAGAAGCTTTGCAGCTTCCCATTGTCCACTCTATAAATGAACAAAGAGAAGAGCTGGCTGACCTACGCAGCAGTGTGCACAGTCCAGACCCAACAGTCCCTGCATTTGGCAAAAAGAGAAATTATGGAAACTAAAATTTCATTTTGAAGGGAAGAAATGGGAATTTGAGACCTATAATTGCCTACCACCTCAATCAATGAATAAATCATAAATGCGAGAAAGCTATTAGAAATGGTGTGTGTGTGTGTGTGTGTGTGTGTGTGTGTGTGTGTGTGTGTGTGTGTAAAAATGGTCTCAGGGTTTCTTTTAGACATGTTAACTTTAGAAACATTAGTCTTCATGTAGCTCACCCACAAAGCTAAAGAAATGCCACTCACATGGCCTAAAAAGAACCATGATATTAGGGTCTAGACCACTTGCTATATTTGCATGGATAAAATAAAGGGATGGGAAAACAGCCCCTCAAATATTTTCTCTGCTTTAGATTTCTGATCCATAAAACAAGGGGAAAAAAAACAGCAGCAATATCCCAGACTCTATTGCCAGCATGCAATGAGCCCAAACACTTTAGGGAGCCAGACCAGTGCCTATTTTTATAACACTTATAAAAACATCATTAAAAAATTATTTAGATCCAATGGTCTGATTCAATGTACTCTCACCCTTTCCTCATTCACTTTAAGAAAATGATATGCGATTATTAGAAAAAGAAGGTGCATCGTGTACTCTCCCATGTTTCATGCAGAAGACAGATTTGTCACCTGAACTGTCATTAACACTGACTGAGGGCAATGCAAGTTGATAAGGTTGAAAATAAAGGAACCTACAGTCAAAAACCATTAAGTTTAGCTTTTATTATTAAGTGATTATAATTTAATAAAAGCTCAAACTTAATGGGAGTGTGGATAAGGAAGTCACAGAGCAAGGAATCAGCACTCTGTTTACTCGTGGCCTGGTTATAATTAAAGGCACCCAAGGGTCTAGAGAGAGACAGCACTTAAAACATCTGAAATTGCTCTTGTGGAGTCGGTTTTCTCATGCATTTTTGCAGTATGGTCCCACATTTTCACATCTGAAATGGCCAGTGATGGCTGCTGCCATAATAGTCAAGTCAAACCTCACCGGTACTTAGTAACAATTTTATCCACTGATAACACCCAGGATTTTACTGATCTAAGCTGGAGTGCCATGGACGCTACTCAGAACTGTTAGGGGTGTGCTAAAAAAAAATGATCCAAATGGACAGGAAACTCACCTAGCACAACAAAGTGAGAAAGAAGACAGGAAAATAAATGACCTATCTGCAGTGCACTACTCTAAAGAGATGTACAGTGAGCACAACAGATGTTAACAATTTGGTTTTAGAGGTGCCCCCAAAATCCCACGCTACACTCAGGCTCCTGGAAACACAAATGTGGTGGTGGTGGTGGGGGAACGGGACGACACTCGTTAGTTCATCTAATGAGTTTTAGTTTCTTATAATTTGAGCATTAGTCAGCGGCTGCGTCCCTAGCACAATGCTGTGGGTGGAATTCCTAAACAATAAACGGGGGATTTTGACAAAATGAGGCAGGAACTGAATCAGAAATGCTTCTATAGATGCAGGTCCACAGTTTGAGCTGGTGGATACAGGGCGTTTAGAACACCTTATTAGGCATTCATTGACTTCTGTGTGACCTCCTGGGCCTTTCTAAATGACCACCTGGTTCCCAAGGCCCTGCAGTTACAGACACTCTCTTAACTCAAGCTAGAAATGCTTGTATCTCATCTACTGAACAGTATCCAGTAATTGCAAGGCCTGGGTTTGAAATGTTATTGTTTCAGGCGAGAGTCTCCTATTTCTCTACCCTTTTCCATGGGTTTACTAAGTTCTTTACCTGCCTTTTTAAAAGTTGTTAGGGCACTGACAAATGGATGACTTTGTGTGTGGGAGGGTGGGGGGACATCCTGTGAGGACAGAGAAAACAAAACAAGCTTCCATCTGAAGCACACACAAGAAGATCAAGTCCAGCTAAGTGTAATGGCATCTTCAGCACGAACACAACTGGCATGGGATGAAAGCAATAAAACCAGATTGTGTTGTTTCCCCCAAACTACACCAAATGGCATTAAAATGAAGGCTCTCACTCCCCTCCAAACTTGTCATCCTGGGCCTTGAGCAATGTATGCCCCATAGTTGGGAAGCTTGTAGCAACTGTTCACATGTGTTAGCCCATCATTTGACACACCGCTTATATAGAGAGGTAGGAACGTGAAACACTCGGAGAAAAACACAGACTGCAGATCAATTCTGTGGTTTGGAGATGAAAAGAAAAACCAGGCACTTACAGAGACCGTGGAGCTTGGTGTATTTGTCCCATAGCCTGAGGAGGGGAGAGAAGCCAGAGACCAGCGGCGCCCGTCCGTCCTGTAGGACAAAGAGAGTTCAGTGAGGCACACTGTGGAGTTACTGATACCAGAGAGTCCCAGAGAACCCCAGGGAACTAGGGTATCTTTAATCAAACAAATGACATGAACATAGTCTAGGAGGATGTGGGGATGCTTGGCCAGGGTTAGGGTAAACAAACATTATACAGCAGGTTGCCTTTTTATTTAAATGGAATCAATACACCCAAACAAGTAGAAAGTGAATGGGTGGATCCATAGTATTGATCTCTCACTAATACACTTTGACAAAATGAATACCAGGGATAATTACAGTGGTCACACTCAGCAGATTCAATGCAATGCAAGCAGAAACAGGGGAGGGGACATGTTCTATGAGGGAACTGACAATCGGCCAATCATCTTCACAAGGGCCTGGACTCCATCAGGGTGCAAGACCCTGGGGCAGGCTGAGGGCCTCCAGCAGACTTTCCACCTCTTACTTCTAAGGGTATGGCTTTCCTTCTGGTAAACAGGGGTGGAGGGAGCCCTGGGCTCCTGGTTACTTCCCACTTTCAAATAACTTTACACTCAGAAAGCTTGAAGCTCCGGTTTTGGAAAATTACTGCTTTCTGACATGTCCTGGCTTCATAAAGTGTGGGAGCAAAGGCCACCTGCAGAGTGTCTGAGCATGTAGCAGACTCTGGCAAGTCACCCGAAGGGCTGGAGGAAAAATTCTCTACTCCTAATGGAAACTAACCCTAAGAGCAAAGTCTCCTGCTCCAGTCCCAGAGACCAAACTCTCAGGCTCCTTAAAGAGATTGGCTCTCCTCCTGGAATGTTGACTACATGGTGGCTTTCTGAGCTGGACTGTAGGTATGAGTCAGGGTCACCACAGGGGGCGAAAATGAATTGATGGAGTAGTTATTCCTGGCAATACTGCTGGTAGGGTAAGGGGCTGACATAGAGCAAATTCTCAGGGATTTCTGTTATTCTAGAAGTTTATTCAAAATTTCAAGTAAGATCCATACTGTATCATAAACTATGGGAAAAACAAATACATGCAAATTTCCCAAGGGGCAAACAAGGAAAAACATTTTATTAGACAGCAGCACTACTCCATTCTTAGATTCAGGATCATATAGAGATGTTCTGTAATTCACAATTTTGTTGATTTACCAATCGAAAGACAACAGCAGGCAAAGTCTGACACAGACACATTCACAGGAAGTTGAAGTCAGGGAATTCCATAGCATCAGACTTGAATTTGAGAAACCTCAATTAGATGCTGATATGGAAAACTGCCACTGTAGCCTCAGAGTCAACAGAAGGTCTTATAGGCTACCATGGATGCTACCTCCAGTAAATGCAAATGGTCCACAGAAACAAGATGGCAGTCGAGTGAACACATCACAGAGTGACTACAATACTAAGATTTCAGTGAAGTTTACCTGTCATTTCTGTGGCCATGATTGGAGTACAATTGAAACAAGTATTTAAAAAAGAAGAAGAAGCAAAATGAGATGTTTATAAATAGTACCAGAGAAAGGGAACTGGGGGGATTAAAACACATATTTATTTAAGTATACTTTTATACAAATGAAAATGTTTCATATTCCTGAGGAAAATAATTATAGTATGTACATAAAAGATACAACCACCAGTTAAATGGGACATAGGCAGATCTTATATTCAGCTACCTATTAAAATCTTTAAAAAGCAATGCCTGGATTTTATATTTTAACCACTTTTAATTTAGAAGAGAAAAGGATATGATTTTAAAAGAATTATTCAGTCCATTTAATAGCAATTATCAGAAACTAGTCTCTGGAAAGAATGAGGGACAAAATTCCCCCACCATGGTTTTGTTTTTTGATTCATTAACTCCCCTTTCCCTCAGGTATCCACAGACATATTTCAGATGGATGAGCAGTTCCAAGAGGAGACATGTTCTTATTAGTTCTGAAGCATAAATTACATTTGCTTAGTCCAGAAAACACACAACTAGGAAGATGTTTAAACAAGAATGTGCTCAGTTCTTGGTACTGCCACGGACCAGAAATAATTCATGTCTCATAAAGTTCCCCCAAGTTGCCTGTGTCTGTTTACTCAAATGGAGCAAAAGGACCATTGCATTTTACATTGCCATGACAACCGCACACCAGAAGTTACTATATATGCTCTATGCAGTACTGAGGGGAGAAAGTGCCCCCTTTCCAAGGAAGCTATCACACAGGCACAATTCAGACCTGACTAACAATGCTGTCTTTTCTGCTCAGTAGCTCCCCATAAAGCAACATCCAAAGACAACATCCTCATCTTCCCAGATCAACAAGGCTCTTTTGAAAAGAATCTTTTTCGTGGTGGGTGGAAATCTCAGTGTTACATCGAGTGAAAGAAGAGAGGACAACATCTGATGAGAACACAGGACAGAAGAGACTGGTGTGTGTGTGGTGGTGAGGGGTCAACTCACAAAACATTTAGACTCAGGTAGTGCTAATAAAGAAGGAGTGGAGCGCTCGGATGCCAGCCTGACAATTTAACTGTGTGAAGAGAAAACATGCTAATATGCTTAGTAATTATAGTCATCTGGGGCAATACACTAGTCTAGATAATGTTGGGTCAAATTCAACTCTACAATCACCAACTAAAATATGCTCCAGAGAGAATTCTAAGACTAACGGGAGGTCACCCTAGTGAGTCACTGGTCTTCAGGGGTCTGAAGACCTGAAGTCAGAGGCAAACTTTTTCTAGTAATTTGCTTGTAGAAATACGTTCTGAGGTTTATTCAGGTAAATAAGAACTGGGCGACTAGGAGACTATGAAGACACCGACTGAAGGGAACCACATTGCCAGTGAAAGCAAAGGCAATTTATAATGTGCCAATGCCCCAGCTTCTGGCAAACGGATGACATTATTACCTTTATCTTACATTCAACAAGAATGTTAGGCGATCCACAGCTAGACAGGCCCTAGATTCTATGGACTGAGAATCCTTCCTCCATGGTTCTTTGGACCAGAAACATTTTAGGTTTAAAATTTTTGATTTTTTTTCTTTGAAGATATTTCCAAATTGGGTGGACGTCCTTAATCCTAACCCTGAGGCTTTTCTGAGCATTCCATTGCTACTCAGAACATTTCAACAAGTTTCTCAGTTTCAGATCCAGAGACCAATGAGATGGCTTAGTAATAGAAGCACTTGCCATGCAAACCTGAACACCTAAGTATGATCCCTAGAAGCCACACATGCTGTGGCACACTTGTAAGTAAACTTGTACACACGTACACACACACACACACACACACACACACACAGAGAGAGAGAGAGAGAGAGAGAGAGAGAGAGAGAGAGAGAGAGAGAGAGAGAGGCAGAGGCAGAGGCAGAGATATAAAGAGAAAGAGAGAGTGAGAGAAACAGACAACAAAATTAAATTTAGGGATTTAGAATTTTGGAATATTTTGGACCTTGGATTTTCAGATTAGGTTTTACATATACTATTATTAACAGTATGAGCCAGGTGGTGGTGGCACAGACTTTCAATCCCAGCACTTGGGAGGCAGAGGCAGGTAGATCTCTGTGAGTTCAAGGCCAGCCTGGGCTACAGAACCAGTTCCAGGGCAATCAGAGATACACGGAGACACCCTGTCTTGAACAAAACAGGTGTGTGTGTGTGTGTGTGTGTGTGTGTGTGTGTGTGTGTGTAATATTTCCTATTTCCAAATAAAACACAATACTGTGATGATTATTTTTCTCTTTCATATTAAAAACTGCGTTGATAGGTTTACTCTTGGCTCTGTTTTCTAAAGCAACAGTGTGTGCCATCATACTTTACAGTCTGTAATTGAACTATTATGTTACCAGGGCTGTAACAGGAAGAAGGTTGAACCAGTAAGGTCAGAGAAGATTAGTAAGCCTACCCTTTGTGTCTTCACCCCAGAATGATTTCAAAGACAGGGCCACATATCCTCTGTTGGGCTAAATTATAAAGCAATTAATGTGAGAATCTCAAACCAGCATTACTTCTTAAAGGTTGGGTGACACCCAGCCAGTGGGAGGCAGTAGAGACCCCAGGCAGAAGGTCTACTTCTCCTGAGTGAAAACTGTCTCCAAACAGCAGGAGTGGGCAGATGTTAGGTCTGAATTCTCGTGAAGAACACAGGCTCTATTTACTTGAATAAAAGTGTAAGACATCGATCACTCATATCCTAATCGAAATTAATACTTTTTGAAGAGTGTGGAAGGAGTCCCAGCTGGTAGATCATGCGACACGAACTGGAGGTCTCCAGTGGTAATCTCCTGTCACGGTTTATGGTGCATTTGTCAAAAATTAACATGCTTCGGGTGTGTGTGTGTGCATTTTTTTTTTATAGCACAGAAGCCAGATTCATCTGTCCTTCGGTCTCCCACTTAATTATTAGATGCTCTTCATTTTTATAAATCTGGCAGGATTAAGAGACCGTGGCTTCTGTCATGTTTTAATACACACTGCAATGAGATTTGCATTTACTTATTGCTCGGGGTAATTGAATGCACCCACCCTCCATTTTAGAGTACAGAGGGCACTTGTTTATTGACTTCATAGCGTTCTTCCCCACTTGGAAGAGTGAACCATCATGAATTAATACTCACTGGGCAGATAGACTTTCGAGGGCCAGTTAGCTTTTGCATTTCTCTTGTAGTATAATAGGTAAAAGAAAATCTTAATTAAAAACAAAAAAAGTTGGATCTTAAAGAAGATCCAGGTATGGGTCCCAGCAAGCTCCTTGAGATGGTGTCTTAATCATTCTTGTATCCTCCCCACTGTGGGGTTCACAGAGGCCTTGAGCATGATGGGAAATGACTATGGTAATGAAAGAACAAACATTTCTTCTTGGGTTGGGACCTTAATTAAGTAGAATCTTAATCATATAGAATTCTGAAAACGCTACTGAAATCTTAATTATAATAGAGAGTTCGGAAAAATCTTTTTCTTAGGATTTCAGAATATAAAATGTATCACATGCTGACGAGTGTGCACACTGCTCATTAGTAATGTGTGGAAGAACAAATGCATTTTAAAAGATATACCTATATGATGTGTAATAGTGTAAATACTATTTGAATTCACTTTAGGGTATAATTAAGTCTCTGAGAAATTCGTACAAGTAGATGGGACACCCAGACCATAAACTAAATTTGTTCTGAATATTTGGAGACCTGAAGGGGCATTTTGCATTCTCTTTCCTGTGTGGAGGAGGCAAGACACACATGTGAGGGGGTGAAGGGAAAGGGAACACAGGATGTCTGACTGAGAAAAACACTGCTTTGGAATCCAGAAGAGATGCCTGAGGCCGCAGCAGGGGGACCAGTCTCAGAAAGCTTGTTCTTTAGATACTTCTAAGTAAGAACACTTCCTCTTGACTCAGTTTCCAAAGAGCAGAGGCATAGCTCTTGAATATTTGCTGCCTAATTCTAAATGCAATATTAATGGGAGAAGAGTGCTGGGCGTGGTGATGGCGCATACCTTTAACCCCAGCAGCACTCAGGAAGCAGAGGCAAGTGGATCTCTGAGTTCGAGGCCAGGCTGGTCTACAGAGCAAGTTCCAGGATAGCCAGGGCTACACAGAGAAACCCTGTCTTAGCCCACTCACTCCCACCCCCCCAAAAAGAGAAAAGAACACAGAAAACCTCCTAACGATCCAAGCATTGCTTTATCTAAGATCTGTCACTTAATTTAATTGCTGGTTAATGCTCCCAAATTCATATCTTGTAACCAGAGTCTCATTTTTACAAAATGTACAACATATGATAACAACAAAAGCTTGTACCAGGACATAGATAAATAAAGCCTGTATAGCAACAACTCAAGAATTTCAGTAAAAATCTGTTAAGGCTGAATTGTGTACAAGGCATGCTCTCCAGATGGAAGAAAACACAGAGAAGCATCTCCACATCTTCACTGGGGCTCACATTTAGCAAAGGACCAAGAGGTACCCTCCAACTGTAACACACAGCAGAAGTCTTCAAGACAACTGTTAAAGCAGGTATGTTCTATCTAACAAGGTCCTTTGGTTGGAGAAAGTTTTATGTGAGAATGAAAAGGATCCCCCAAGACAGAACCCTGGGAGAGTCGCAGGGACGAGTGTTGGGGGGAGAGGGTAGAAATGGGATTCCCTGGGAACCACTTCATTGCCCCACTCATGGACAGGCCTTACCTCCGTGCAAATGAGAAATGGGCTGAGGCACTGGGGGAGAAATTCCTTGGGCTGTCTTGAGGGCTATTTCCTGTGGAGAGAAAAGGAGAAATGAACAACCTCATTTTGTTTTCGTACCATTATCCACATCCAGAATCTTCTCAGTAATCAGCTTCTTTACAGTTCCACAAAATGTCATTTCCTCTAATAATGTTTTAGCTTTGCCTCCAGCAGGGATCTGGGAAGCAGGAGAGGTGGGGTGGGGTGGGGTGGGGGTGGGGGTGGGACGGCACTGAGTTCCAGTACAGCTTTCCAAGTGGGCAAGACATACGAATACATTCATTCAGCACTATCACCAACCCCCAGCCCTCCGAATCTTTAATAACCTAAGCATTTCAGTCTGTAGAATAATGAGTGCATATATGTTTTGTATTGTGCCTTCAGATGCTAACACTTGGATGGTGAGCTCATGCTTTTATTAGAGGTGCTTTTTATTTGGGGGAGGCAGCCTCAGTATGGGGGAAAAAAAAGTCTTGAAAATAAAGGGCTTGGACTCCAAAGGATACATTTAAATGATAGATGTGTCAAAACCAGTCATAAAATAGGAGGGAGAATCCAGCCATCTGGACCTCTGTCTAAAATGTCCCAGACTCTATTTTAGCATTGCTGGGAGAACCTGGCAGGATTACTCCTTGTCAATATTTTCTTCAGCAATCTCTGGGTCTCTAAGCAGCTGGAATGTGACTGGCCAGGCGGACACTAAAAGCCCTGGCCACAAGGAGATGGCAGCGCTGGTCTCTCCAGTCCTCCACAGCCTGAGAAGAGCACTGATTGCTCACCGGAAGGAGGGCAGCACCCCTGGGGCTTGTTACTTTCTCCATTAGCCGGCTCAACCTGCTGCTGATCATTGACAAAGCTTGGCAGGCAGCTGGCGGGGGCAAGTTCAGGACACTCCAGACCATGCTGCTTCCCCCCTGCATGTTTAATTAGATGCCCAGCATTGTCTGAGGACCACTTGGGAATGGAGCTGGTTTCTGTAAGGAGGCGAGAAAAGCCTGCAAAGTAGCTCTATGGTTTCCTGAAAAGTGGAAAAATAGATCAGGGAGAGACGCCCTTCATCCCCCCAAAAGCAAAGCCAAGGCCACATCACTGGCTCCTCAGTGATGAGTGACCACTGTAGCCAGCTGTAAGGAATACCGACTTCCACTTCCAAGTCACACCCAGCTGGAAAGGTAAACAATTTGTTATTAGTGTGCTAAAAAAACAGCGGAACACCTCAAGGAGGCAGGTTTAGTGTTACCTTGAGGACTTCTTTGACTGGCTACATCTCCACTGAAATTTTTCAATTAACTTAAGGTTGCAAATTTTATAGTGTTGTCTTCAACAGATGCTATTAACTTTATGACAGCACAGTCAAAGCCATTCAACGGGGAAGCGCTGAGAAGCCGTTTCTTTATAGAGAGCCAAGCAAGGAGCGGTTCCCCTGCCACGGGGAAATTTATCATGTCTTTGCATCTGCTGTTCCCGGGGGCCCCTGGAGGAATGGATTTTGCTTTGGCTGTCCAGTAATCCAGGATTCATTTTGTCTGTTTATCTACACAGCAAATGAACTTATTTTGATTTCTCTCAACAGCATTCATGTTCCCACTCCTAATTTAGCTTGTGTACCACTCTCCGCATTCTGCAAAAGAGCTCAATAACTTCAAGATAGCTAAAAGCCCTTGCTTCCTAAGGGGGATAATCTAATGCTTGGAATCATTGTATAGGGGTTATTCTTCTCTGCTTTTTTTTTTTTTTGAAGTTTGGGGACTATATTCATGTTGCTTGTACACCATGGAGAACAAACTACCAGTAAATTATTAGTTGCCACAAAAACAATTGCTTACTTGAAGCCGAGACATTCTGACAACAATTCTTCCTGACTCATTCACAAGAATAAAATAAGACCAAGGGAATCTGGCCCGATCCCCTGCCTGTCTTCTCGGCGGGGAGAAACCACTAAAGCTGGGGGTCCAAACATGGTGAGCGAAAACCAAGAACCCATTTTTACAAAACGGGGAAGGGGAAGATCTGAGGAAGGAACTTAAAATGACTGACCCCTAGGAAGCCAGGTACCATTTTATAAAACATTTTCTAGCACATGGTGATCTTCCAGCTTGAGGACAAACAGAGACAGACAGACAGACAGACAGACACAGAGGGCTGAGTAAAACTGCCCTTAAAAGAAATCAAAGCTGCCAATACCAAAGCTTCCACTAACCAGCCCTAGACGTGGCCTCGCATCCAAGGCTGCCTTTCCAGGTACGACTGAAACTTCATTTTCTTTCTCACCTTTCACTGCCATAAATCCAAAGTCTGGGTTCTTTTTATCTTCCACCTCAAGGGCCATCTGCATATCTTCCTAATTCTGCAGATCTACTTTCTTAAGTGTGGGCCGAGAAGCTGAACTGCAATGTATGTAACATCCACAGAAGTCATGGGTCGCTTAGGAACTAGACTGTTCGGAGTGGAGTTGCCAGGCATTTTTGTCAACGTGTGAACATCACAGAGTGAAACTTCAACAAACCAAGGCAACAGGAGCATCAGTAAGTGGTGTAATGTTTTACCCCCACTATACGCAGAATCCATCCACATCTGACAACACTGACGAGGTTTGCTGGGGGGGTGGGGAATTGAGGGTTGTGTAGAACCCTCCATGGGCTGCTGTTGCAACTGTACTATCACTGAAGTTCTATAAAGTGCCATAAGATACCAGAGAAGGACAGGGACTCGAGTGCAGGGCAGTTCAGCAAGCGTCAGGGAAGTCAGCAGACGGGAACTTCAGAGAACCAGAAACAACTCAGGCAGAAACGCTGTACACATTAAAGCAGTCCCAGAGACGAGCTCTCTAGGTGGAGAAAATACAGAGCGGTACAGCCAATGCCCTTTGAACTATATTTATTGGTATTAGGTAGTGGGAGGCTTTAGAGATGCTTGGATGGACCAAAGGAGACAGAGCTAGACCAGCACATACAAGGTCAAGAGAAAGAATTTCTGCGGGCAAATTAAGAGTGATTGGTGCTGTGTTAAAAACAAGGCCAGAAAAAGAGAGAATACAGAAAGTGACTGATGTCGCCACTGTGGATAGATCAGTGGGATGACATGGCAGAATAACTCACTAATAAAGAATCTTGAGAGGTAGGTGCAGTTCTGGCACTAACATAGGAAAAAGGAAATAAGCACTGTATAGATGTATATGTCCTGTACTGAACAAAATTTCAATTTCCCTTGGGGAGAAATGATAAGATTAGCATATTAGAGTTATAGAAGTCAATCGTGAAAGGTTTTATTTTTATTTGAAATAAAAACGGACTTCTTTTTGGTCCCCCAAGATTTAGCAATACTATTTTGTTAGACAGTGCCCACGATGCTGCAGATCTGGGGTAGATGGGTTAGAATTCACGCCATCTATGCTCTAGGAAGTGCTCTCCGCTGAACACGTGGATGGCGCTGGCTGTGAAGAGAGAGCAGGATGGATTGAAACTGGAGTCCTACACATGACCTTCACTCCTCGCAGCACGGATCTCCGAATTCATCCACCCATCTGCAAAGCAATACCTGAGAGACTCTCGAACAGACACTGGTGCCAGTTAATTCTCTGCCCATATGTGCAGCCCTCGCTTGTAACTCACATCCTGCTGCTCCGGGGATTTGCCGGCTCTTGGATGTTCGAGTGCTCGGACACTTTACGGACTGCCAGTATTCCCGCTGATGCTCTGACCGGATGAAGGAAGCCTTAGCAGTGGCCAGGCATTGGGTAGGTAATTAACACCAAGATCCCCCAAAGGCAGAGAGGCACAGCTAGGATGCGTGCAGTGTGTCGGAGCCATGCTTTACCTAACGGCTCTACACAGGGAGCCTCATTTTAGAGGCAGTTATTGTGAAGAAAGCGATTTCCAGATTAATTAAATTGTTTGATTGCCTTGTAATTAGGCTGGAGAAGTCCTGCGTCTTCGCCACAGAGAAGCAAGCTGCAAATCTTTTTAAAAGGCATATGCTTTACCCACTATAGATTATTAATGTGCTTTTAATAGCCATCCGTTCACAAAATGACAGTTTCTGATGCCTCAATTTTCTATATGAACAGAGGGAATCCAAGAATTAATGACCACTGCCATTTGAAACTCCTGGTGGATCAAAGAGTGAGCCCCCCATTTTGAATCCTCAGTTCTCATTACTTGATGATCCCTTAAATGAGCTGTGACGTTTCGCGCCATAACAATCAGTGTGGTGTTTTCCGAAGGCTTCAAGGGTCCTCCGCAACACATGGCCACTTCTTCACAACCTTAAGGACAGATTGCACAGAACCAAATCTAGGACCTCCTTGCAAGACGAAAGCCAGCATGGTGGGCATTGGTAAGATTTATACAGGAACCTCCAACAGAATAAGGCACGGGAAATCACAGTTCAAGTTGCCAGCGAACTTTGAGTGGATCCCACTGGACTTAACAGGTGACGTGTGAAGGAAAGTCAGAGATCTTCCTGTCACTTAGACACCTGTCTCTGAAATTGGCTCTTCTCCAGATATAATTGTGGAATATTAATTAAACCTGGGCAGCTGTTTAGGCCCTAAATAACCAAGGACTCTCTTTGATTAGCTGACAGTGGTGGTGTCCCTGGCAAAAACTGTACGGTGCTCACTGCAGGCCAGTGAATAAAGGACACCAGTGTACTTGGGTGTTCAAGTCAAGAGCCGATTACTCACAATGTGTTAAGGTTTTCTTATAACGTGGGCTTTCTCTGCCTAAGCCCAACATAGCCAGAACCTCTGCCCACTGCTTGACGAAGTCAGGCAAGAAACGTTTATTCATCTTCTACTTCACAGAAGGGAAGGATATGATAAAGATGTTTCTAGCTGTTCTGTGGCCAATGAGCTGCAAGCAGGCTGGGGCAAGAGCAGGGATAACTGTCAGGAAGCTGCTAGGATAGATAAGGGAAAGACAATAGTTTGGATGCAGGGCTGCAGATCTTGGGGGGTGGGGTACTGGCAAGAAAACCAGTGGGGTTTGCTGCAAAGTGGGATTCAATAGAGCTGGGAAGGGAGCAATCAAG